CTCAGGAACCCATAGAGTAACGAACACCACTGTGAATGCACAAACCAACCCGTACAGAGTGAAAGTTCCTGTCCAAAATTAACCGAAAAAATCCATCAAAAATTGCTCTGTTGTCCTCAATCGTATGAGAGAAAAAGGGGGAGAGGAGAAACCTCCACTGCTCCAGGCTAAGAGCAAGTTTGCAGTCATGGTAATCAACCAGGAAAAGAACCAATTGGCTAGAGTTGCAATACTTCCAGCTAAACCCTTTATGTTTACAGGAAGGATCTGTTTACCAAACAACAAACAAAGCAATCAAATGGTTGGTGTTTGATAACTTATCACTTTTCGGTTCGGACAACACTTAGTTCCAACTTCTAACCAACTCGTTACCTCAGACATAATAAGCCACGGAATTGGTCCCATTCCCAATGAAAAAGTAACAACCATTGCCTGTAATGATCAACAGAGTTAAAGGCGCAAATAATCGCTTATTGCATCAAGAAAGTTCCGCTATATAACTAACAAACTAACTTACCACAACTCCAACTACTGACAAGATGCTAAGCCAACCGTACATGTCAGAATCAGGAGACACAAATCCCTAAAACAAGAGATGTAAAACTTAGAAATTCAAATTTTGGGTTTGTTACAGAAAATAATATGATGTTTACAATAGTTAACGACTTAAAAAGGTACCTTCAGGTAGAAAGCAGCTGCAACAATTACAAGGCTAATCGTCATCCCAACCGACGAGATCTAGAAAACATTTTCCATTTGCAATAGTTAATAACTTAATCTTGGATATGTCTTATATTTCTTTCTCTAAAGAGGTCTTAAGGATATGAAACTACTGAATTAATACTTACTGTAAGCAGAAGCCGACGACCTGCTTTGTCCACCAACCATGTTGATATTGCAGTCGCCACTACCTGGATAGCACCAAGCCCAAATGTTGCAGCATTACTTGATGTAACTCCTGAAAATGAAAACACAACATTGTAAAACTAAGTAATAATAATATGAAATGAGAAGCATAAGGTGCTCTTAGAGCACGGCCCAACCTGCAGATTCAAATATTGTACTGGAATAGAATAGAACGCCATTAATTCCACCGAGCTGTTGAAGTACAAGCAACCCTATACCAACCTTTCAAACACACACACGAAAAAATGGAGTTAAGATAGTGTTTCTTATGGTAGACAAGGTATATTCGAAGGGAAAGACATTTCAATGTTTGTACCATAAGTGGGAAATAGTATCTCCTGCGCTTGAGATCTACAAACCGAACTGTATTTCTCTTTGTAGATGATGCCACAGACCTCTGCATATTTGCAGATAAAAAAAAAATAAGCGTTTGAAAATCAATCATCATGTCATTTTTGGAAGCAAACCTTTTCAGCAGTAATATTACCTTGATTTCATTAACCTCAACGGTAATGTCAGTCTCGAATCCTCGAAGAACTTGTAACGAAGTTTCAAAATCATCGGTCATACCCATTTTTGCCTACATTTTAATGAAACAAAGCATCCCATAAGAGTGGATTAACAAAAAAGTGCACTAAGGTTAATAAGTATAAGGAAACTATTGTAAGACGTACCAGCCAGCGAGGGGATTCAGGGATGAAAAAGAGACCTGGTATCAGTACAGTGCACGGCAATATCCCTAAAGGCAAACAAAGAAAACCACCAAAGTGATTAGAGAGTATTGATAAATCATAATCAATCTCAGGCTTCATATAATGAAATTTACCCAAAACTGCAAGAATTCTCCATGGAACAAAGAGGCCAAGTAAATAGGCCAACATTATTCCAATTGTAACAGAAAGCTACAGAAAAATCCATTTACTGTTAGTATAAAAGAGACTGTCCATAAAATGTAAACTATGAATTATCCAGCTAAACATGTCAAACCTGGTTAACCGAACCCAACCCTCCTCTCATATTCTGTGGAGCTATCTCAGCGATATATACAGGCACCTGAAACCACAAACCGATTTGCATTAATATACTGGAAGTCTGGAACATGTCAATACATAAGCAAACGACTAGCTGAGTTCAGAATTACAGTGTAAGATATGATCCCAACACCAAATCCTTCTAAAAGTCTTCCCATGTAAAGAAAAGAAGTATCCTACAAAACCAGAATGATGTAGAGAGTTAAGTTTAACCAACAAGTATAAATTGCCACTTGACTTAACGCGAAAGCAGCATACAGAAACTGAAGAACAACAACAACTCACTTTTGCAAATGATATGCAAAGCCATCCAATAATATTGGGAATCGCAGCAATCATCAAAGACTGTCCCAGAGAACACAATAAGAGGTTAAAGAAAAGCAAGAAAGAAGATTTTATTAGATGGATAAAAAAACAGAACAACCAAGAATCAGCAAACAAATTATACCCCTTTTCGCCCAATGTATTCTGCAATCTGACCACTGGCAATTGCACCAACCATAGCACCCACATTGGACAGAGAACCAAACACAGAGTACTAAAACATGGAGCAAGAGATCAAAGTCAAACAACGATTAAACAAGCAGTGATAAAAACCAGATAGCTCTGGACAGAGATTGGTCTATTATTACCTCAGATACCGTTAAGCCAAGATCCTTGGTGATTGCAGCTTGAGTTGGAGATGAATAACCACACTGATCAAAAGATTAAAACAAAGGAGGGTTTAAAGAAACAAATCAGAAAATTATCCAACTATAGTCCTCTAGTTTGCTCCCATATCGGTTTCACCAAAATCTGAACTTGAGAAATGAGATTTTCAATCACCAGAGTTACATAGAAAATGAGAAACAAAACAAAACACAAAAGGTCATCAAATTCACCTCACACTAGTTTTCCATCAAAAGTCACACCTTTCTACAGAAGGAATAGAAAAAGTTGGGATTTTGGTTTATCTTACAGTGAATCCGAATTGAATAGGACCAAGAGCAACGATCAGAACACATGCAAGAACAGAGATTGAGCTGTCTCGAATAACTTGAGACGAACCCATCATACTCGACTGTCTCGAACCCATCCTGTACCAGCTTCCCGTGTGTATGAAGGGCCGTCGCAAATCATTCCTACCCTCCTCTGTATCATCCCTGAAACTCATCTTTTGGTTCTGTCTCTACAACTCCCAATCCTAATCTATAAATCTTTCTTATATCTCAAACGCTTCAAGATTTCGTCGTCCCCCCCCCCTGAAGAGGTCCAAATGCAGATTCTAAACCAGAGAATGCAAAAACAAAATCTAAAAGCCTGTCTTAGGACTTTCTTTTGTCGTCGATTTGGAGGATCTAGAAATTGAAGAACAAAATAATTTGATGACGCGACTTGGATAAGAACGGATTGAGAAACGCCGTCTTGTTAAATAAGAATTTGGGTTTTTATGTCTATAAAAGCTGTAATGTAGTGTTTAATTGCTGGAGGAGAGAACAAGAAGACTGCTTCAGACAGTTTTTTTAGATCACAGTTTGCATCATCATCCTCTCATTAACCATATTTAGAAATTAATTTACAAGTTCCTTTTTTCCATTTTTTTTTCTTTTTTCGGGATAATGGATTTATGTGGACTTTTTTGTTTTAACAATTTTGGAGGAGATTTTTTTCTAACAAAATAGTTTGTCCCCAACAAAAATCTTTAAAAAATTACAGATTATGCAAATTGGAGAAAATGTGTTGGCAAGTAATAAATAAGATAACGACCAGCGTTCAAAAACAAAATTATTTTGTGGAAATATATCTTGTAAATCCATATATGGTCTTAGGCCGGCTAATAATAATTAATAAGATATATATATAACTTTATGATTATATGGTTTACATCATTAGCAAAATAATCACACAAACTCCGGAAAAATGGTGATGAACAGAGAAGTGCAATAAATATCACGTTTCATTTTTTTCTTATTTTTTTTTCACAATGGAACTTATATATATCAAACCAAATAGCAGAATCCATATACATATAAACTAGTCCAGAGTGGAAGATCAATCGTGCTATTCATAAACCTACATAGGGGTGACAATCCATTTTTTTTTTAAGCCATACTATAAGCTAGCTAGTACAAACTTTATAAATAAGAAAAAGAAGTAAAATTTCTTCAAGTCTCAACACACATAAACCACAGTTAGTACCCCTAGTGTTTTAACGAACTGATAGATGAGAGAGCCTAATCATTTCATACCATGATCTTGAAAACCCCTCATAATCTAATGATCATGTCCAAAGAGAAAGAAGATAAAAAAGCCAAATATCAGCCCTTCATTTCTTTTTCACTCAAATATGATATACTATAAACTAACAAAATTTATGATATCAGTAGTAAGACTTGTATGTTATCATCGACGATTCAACAAAAGCCGCCAAATATATATATTTATAACTTTCGTATTCACTAGTCAATTATACATCAATAATATTAACATTCATACTACCATTTGCAATAAATATAAAGCATGGTAGGAGTACGGTCAATTTATTATTTACAAAGCTTGTTAAAGAGAACCCAAAACGAGATCAATGTGAGCTTAGATAGGAGGAGACCACAACAGAAAAAGACAAGTGTGTATCATATTCAATTATTCAAACCTAACACGTCTTTGTGGATCTGATGATGTGATATTACTGTCTCGATTCATCTCTAATCTTTTTTTTTTTTTTTCTCGTTGACCACATCATTACAAATCTATACATATTAATTTGATTAAGTCTTTTCTTTCCTCCTCATTTCTCACATGTAAACATTAAATATCATTGCATAAACATTACCCATTAGTCGTTGATGGGAATGTGATGTTGTGTCATATAAATTAAAATGATTATTGCGTCGTAAGTATTTGGGCGAAAAAAACTAGTCTATGTTGTAAAAAAAACTGTCAAGTTTATTGAGCCTCAATTTGAAAGACCCAAGCAACCAGATTTGGGCTTATTATTTAAAGCCCACATAGAGGACGTTGGAGCGTGAGGTCCACTCTCCTTGAAGGCGCGTTAGATAAGAATCGAGACGCAAAAACTTCACTCAGCTCAGCCGTGATTAATCTCCGATTAGGTTGTTTTCGATTGATTCTCTTCGTCTCTGCAGCAAGCGACCCATAAAAAAAAAACCCTAATTTTATCAATTCGAATTCTTAATTTCAGATGGGTGAACATTCACCTTCTCAACCATCTTCACATACTCATCTCCCTGACCAACCACAATCACCCAATCCCGAAAACCCTAATCCAATCCCACCGGAAACCAACGATGACGACTCCGTTTCGTCCGTCGGAGTTTCTGGCTCAATTGTGTCATCAACCACCATTGAAGCACCACGGGTCACTGAATTAGGTAATGTATCGTCTCCACCTTCCAAAATCCCACTCCGTCCTCGAAAAATCCGGAAGCTTTCACCCGAAGACGAGGCTTCCGGTAACAGCGACGGGTTCAAGCCTGAGCATAATAGCCTCTCTCAGATGATGACGCCGACGGCTACAAATCCAGCCGTGAAGAGTAAATTATCACAGTCACGGGCTGTAACCGTGCCGAGAATCCACGCGAGGTCTCTCACCTGTGAAGGCGAGCTTGAAGCAGCGCTTCACCATCTCCGAAGTGTTGATCCTCTGCTCGCGTCGTTAATTGATATCCATCCGCCACCAACGTTCGAGACTTTTCATACTCCGTTCTTGGCTCTCATTAGAAGCATCCTTTACCAGCAGTTAGCAGCTAAAGCAGGGAATTCTATCTACACACGCTTCCTTGAAATATGCGGAGGTGAAAATGGCGTCGTCCCAGAGACTGTCTTGCCTTTAACACCTCAACGGCTTCGTCAAATAGGTGTTTCTGGGCGTAAAGCTAGTTACCTTCATGATCTTGCTAGGAAATATCAAAATGGGATCTTGTCGGATTCTGGAATAGTTAACATGGATGAGAAATCTTTGTTCACGATGCTAACGATGGTGAATGGGATCGGGTCATGGTCGGTTCATATGTTTATGATAAACTCTCTTCATAGACCCGATGTCTTGCCAGTTAATGACCTTGGTGTTAGGAAAGGTGTGCAGATGCTTAATGACTTGCCGTATTTGCCTCGTCCATCTCAAATGGAGCAGCTTTGTGAGAAATGGCGCCCGTATAGATCAGTAGCGTCATGGTACATGTGGCGGCTTATTGAATCTAAAGGTACACCACCAAATGCTGCGGCTGTGACAGCCGGAGCTGCTCTTTCGTTTCCACAGTTGGAAGATATTCAACAACAGCAACAACAACAACATCAGCAACAACAGCCTCAGCTTATGGACCCTCTTAATAGCGTGTTCAGTATCGGGTATAGTCAATTACTTTATCAAACTTAGTATCACAGTGATTAATATGCAATATTTGTCCCCTGCTTTTTACTTTGCTTGAATTTTGTTGCCCTTATTGGTGAATATGTGCTTTAGATAGAGAGAGCATTGGATTGATTGCGTTGTTACTATTACTTGCTGAGAGTAAGTACTAACGTGTTTGGGTCTTGTCTCCTAAAGTTAATCTCAGTGCTTTAACTCTCTACTTTCACTGTCCATGCAACATCGAGGAGCATGTATTTATAGTTGAGTTAGGTTAAACTGGTTTTAGTTCGTAAAGAGAATACTTGTATGAGCGTACAAGTCACCTAAGATACATAGTTTGTGGAGCTTACGATATTTGAGAATAGGATCTATGCAGGGAATTGGTTCAGTTTTGATTTCCAATTCTGGATAGACCTATTTGATCTTCTGATTTAATTGATAAATCTATCATGCAAGTTCTTTGCCTTATCTTCATCTAGTCCTCAGCCTTAAGTTATGCACCATATAGTGATATTTGCAGGTTTCAACTTAATAAAATTATGGCAGTGTACACGTATACCTACTAAAAGAAGATGAGATGGAATATAATGGTACTGTAGGGCTTCTAATATTTGAGACTTAACCTACTTCTGGTATCAGTGTTTCACATTGCCCCTGGCAAATGCAAAGGACACTAGTCAAATAAAATGCTTTATGAGTGGGTTTAACCATGGATACTCATAGCATGATAAGTGAAGCTATTCTCACCCAAGTCACTGTTTTCTGTAATGCTGAATACTTGGTTGCGAATTATGGACTAGTTACAGTAATTAAAAGGATGTTTATATACACTCTCTTCTAATATCAGTATGTTTGTCTTCTTTAACAGGGCATGGGGACAAACGTAGCTGACTTGGCACAATAAATTTGTTGTTTTTCATGGCGGGATAGGGATTCTGGTCCGGTGGTCTTTGGCTATTGTCTGGTGAAGAAGTCTTAGTTCCGCAGCTAGGAAATAAGAATATAGAAGGCCACGGAACAGAAATCTTACTAGCTGAGTGAAGAGTATGTAAGATTTAGTTTACTTAATGAACTTTTACATCGATTATCTTTTGTTGGAGAATTGAACAGTTGTCTAAAGAACCATCTAAAGCGTCTCCTAATTCGTATCTAAAACAGAGCTTCATCTATATTTCTAAACCAGGGACACGTCTCCCCTGATCAAAATAACACATAGAATAATAGTCTGAAGAGAAGTAATAAAACAGATGTAATGTCCTTGTTGCGTTGAGTTGTCAAAACACAGTAAAACAATCTGTAACCACATGGAAGAAAAAAGAAGAACCCTTTTGGGATCTTCTAAAATCAGTTTGAAGACAAGAGAGTTGATGAAAAACTTCTGTTGGTTTGTTGCCACTGTCACTGTAACTAATGAGACACAGATCCGTATTTCTACACCACACAATTAAAGCTCTGTTTAGTAAGAAAAGAAAGTGAAGAAGCATGGGGGAGGGGGAAGAGACTTGAGCCACAAACAAATAGAAGAAAAAAAACTCGTAAGGTTTGAAGAAAACAACAAAGCAAGTGTTCTGAAACAGAGGAGTAGTACTCTGGTTTCGGCTACAAAACAAGTTGCAACACAAGACCCTTCAGTTTTGTTTTTCAGAAAGAATAGAGAGAGAGCTGATAGGGACAAATCACTGCTTTCCTTTTCATTTTATTTCCAATTTTCCAGCTAACTTGTTTTTACTTTTAATGTACAAATTTTTTCTAAATGGGTTACATAATAAGAATATTCCATGAACTTTAATCACTTAAAATAACTCACGTTATGCAAAACAAAACTCCATTAATAATAATACAAGGAGAGATGGGTTGAGATGAATCGGCAACAAAATTGAATACTTGAATTGAAGAGTGAGAACCATGTTGTTTGGTGGGGATTACGAATCCCAAATCCCAAAATGTCCCTACAGCCAACACCATATAGAAGCTACACTTTTAGGTCTACAAAAAAAAAAAAACATACGAAGAAATTTTCTTTTTAAAAATAAACAAAAAAAAAAAGAGAAAGAGAGAGAGAGAGAGAGTGAAAAAGAAAGGGAAAGGTAACTTGCGGGGAAGCGTGGAGAGTGGCAGAAAGAGGAGAGAGAGAATTCAGACATTGTTGTTGTTGTGTTTGGGGGGAGGATCTACAGTTCTTCTTATTCACTAGTTTCAAACTGCTTTGTTTTACTTTTTTCGGTTTGATTCTCTGTGTGAATATAGACATTTCATATCTTCACAATTCTCACCCCTTCTCTTTACCTCTTATTAATCTATAATCTTTTCTTTTTCTTTCTTGTTAAATTTTTGTGATACAGTTAAATGGTTACCCCACATATATGATGTATCTAATATACTAATTAAATTAGATTGATCTAAATCTTATTCTTATTATTATTAGATAGATAGCAGCATCATTGCTTGTGTTGTGTACGTAGAGTTGTTTGTACCTTGAGCTTTTAATGACAAGAGCTACCAAAGTCGTCGTACTTTGATAAATAAACTAGTAATATAAAATAATATAAATTAATTAGTTAATTAATGGGATCTGATGATATAGAAAAGCTAATTGATAATCGTGTTAAGCATGATTTGTTTATTTGACTTTAATTTTGTTATGTAGGTCAAAGAAAAGGTCGAACAATGTACACTGTTCCAATCCAATGCGTGATTAAGTCTTCTAGTGTATAGTGTTGAGTTTCTTCTCATGTTACATAATATAGAGACATGATGATCTAAATCGTATCAGATATAGATCTTCAAAAAATGTGTTTTGGGGTAAGCTTTGTCAGAGGAACGTATGATGTTTCCAAGATAAGATAATTACAAATTGGCAAAAATCTGTGAGTAAATATGTGAACCAATGTTCATATAATCTATATATACATAGAGTAGAGGTTCTGCAAATTAATAGATAATCCAGAATTGTAGACACTATTCTCAAAGTCAATATCTTTTTTTTTTTTTTTAAGAAAACAGATAAATAACATGTTACACTTATGGATTTCCTGAGAATATGATTCAAATTGTTAGAAAAATCGAAAATTAGTAAATCACTAGCTTGGGTGATTATAGAGATAGAATATTTGATTGGATTAATAGTGAAATTAATTAAAAGCCAAAATAATTAGTTTTATGTTTTGGTTAAGAAAATGGGTTAAGAAAGGAGAAAGAAGAGGTGAATGATAATGGAGAAAGGGGACAAAACATGTTATGGTAGAGAAGTAATTATCGTGTGACAGGTTGTCCATGGGAAATTCTGCAGAGGCTATGACTAACGATTACTTTTTTGTTTTTCTCAAATTATTTCATTTATTTTGACATTTTTTATTTTATTTTTTTGTGTGTTTTGGTTTCTACATATCTAAATTATTCAATTCCAATGAGGATCATGTTAACTAAAAATTTAGTAAATAAAATATATCAGCGTCCCGTGACTATATAATAAGTCAATCCTTTTACACAAACAATCATTTTATAAGTTGAACCAATGTAAAAAAAAAACACCATTTTAATGTTAGCTATGGTTATTACTAACCAATGTTTAGAGTATCAGTGTATTATAAACTAAAACTTAAACTACATATAATTCTACAAGTTTATTGTGTAAAACTTAAAAACATTTTGTCAACATATGTACGTAGTTATATACACATCAAAATTATATCTTTCATATCCCTTCATATAACATCTATATAAGGAGACTATTAGAAAGTTAAGTAAGAAAAAAAAAGCAAAGAAAACACTGATGTACACATTGGTGAAATATGAGATTTAATAATAGTAAGCTTGAAGAGAAAAACATATCTATGATATAGATGATGACATGGTCCAGGAAATATGGCTTTCTTGAGTCTTGAGTACACTAGCTAGTATTAATCTTGAAGACTTGCAAAGTTGTATTAAACTTGGAAACATATGTATAGTTGTTTATGAGAAAAAGACATGTAATTTTATTATACATATATAAGGGAAAAGCAAGTAAGAAGAAAAAAGAAAAAAGATAAATAGGTAAGGAGAGACATAACACTACATAAACAATAAAGAAAAATCAAGAAGGGGGGGGGGGGGGGTAGAGGTGAAATTATAGGGAAAGAAGAAAAGACATTGAGTGACGAAGAAAGGGTGTTTGGACAAATTAGGGTTTAATCATATAAGATGGGGTTTTGCACTTTGAATTGAAAAATCAAGAAGAGAGAGAGATGTAATGTAAAAAAAAAAAAAGGTAATAATGAAGGAAGAGAAGGGGGGGGGGGAATGGGGTCCATAAATGTGGCAGGGCATGTGGCTGGGCTTCCAACTTGGCCTTGTCGGTTGTTCTCTCTCTCTCTCTCTGCACTGCCCCTTCTCTGCAACCCACACACTCTCCCTCCCTCCCTCTCTCTCTCCTCTTCACTAGAGAAGCCTAATTTTTCATTTCTACCATCCAATTTTCTTATATTTTCATATATATTATTCAGTAGTACATAAAGTAAATTTTTTTTTTTGATAAACCCTAGTACATAAAGTAATTTTCTCGATAATTATCTGATTGGGATCAATTTTGTTAACAGATAAGATCGTTAGAGCAACTTTATTAGTTTAATATTAATTCTTAGTATTAAGGTATTTCTAATCTCATTTTGTTTTAGAATCAAAGTTCTATTTTAGATTTTTGCTCCAATTCTACTCTAAGATAGAGTAAAACATGGTGATTTTAGATAATGATGCTTTTAAGTAAGAGCCAAAGAATTACCTTAAGAAAATCATTGATAATGGTGGTCTAGTCTAAAAGATTAACACTGTACTTTTATTATTAGCAGAAATTACAAGTATTATATAGCCTTATAGGAAAAACAAAATAAGATTACGCACGTACGTAATTATCCGATAACCAAGAGATACTACTATTACTTGCTAGGACTATCCATTGGCACAAATTACAACGCTTTTTATATTAAATGCTATTCCTAAGTGTTTCTTTAACTATTATTATCGGTTGACTAATTTTTTATTTAATTACCCCCATGCTTCAAAGGGAATTAACACTGTTGGGGTGTACATACGGATGCAAGTGCAACCAAGTCTAAAAGCCCATTTCGGGTTTTCCTTTCTTTCTTTTTTTGTGGTTACAAAATACGATGGTTAATGACGTAGTCACTGTGCACAGTCAGAATAATGAGCTCATTCAAAAACAAAAACAAAAAATCCCCGAGAGATAGAAGAATGTCAATAATTGCATCAGTGTCATGCGAGTTTTACACATATTACGATAATTTTTAGAGCTTCAAGTTTCTATTCAATCCATCTAGGCTTAGCCTATAGTACTCTATACTACTATGTGTGTTTTACAATACAACAATATACTATCAAAAAAAGATTCAAACAAAACAATCATCATTTCCTTCCTTCTCAACGAATATGTTTATCTCTATTATGCAATGTTGTTGTTATTCAGAGCTATCTATCAGGGCAACAAACACACATTTACTTCAAATGTTAACTCAATAGTCAATTAATTACTAAAATCCGTTTCAAATATATTGTCACATATTTTATGAAAAATTCAATTATACTTGTTAAAAATAGAGTAATCTTTTTTTTCTCTTTTGTCAATTAATCAGCCAAACACTGCGAAATTAGTATCTACTCCCATTCTATTTTTTTTGTCTGTATGTTTTCTTCCCTTCATTTTACTGATTTTTAATTTTGATATGAAAGGGTCTGTATTATAAATTTCTGCTATAAATTAAAACTATAGGATAAACCTTTTGTAAACACATAGAAATAAGAGAAGTAACTCAAACAAAAATAACTAAATTTTCTGATGCATTATTAAAATTATAAAAAAATGTATGTCAGTTTAATATAAAAAAGGAGCTAAAGTAGATAAATACACACAGCTTAATGGGAAAAAGATGAAGCAAAAATAGATAATTAAAAACACACACAGCTTAATGGAAGAAGAAGTATAAAGTTAATAATAAAGGAGTGGTTAATTAGTATTATAATACTAGTAGTATATAGTATAGTAGGGTATGGAACGAAATTAGTTTAGTGTCATCTCTCTCACACACACACACACACAAATTAAAGGGCTCAGCTCTTATCTCTTTCTCAATGGCCTCACCACAAGCAACCAAATTGTCTCTTATAATCGGATCTCAAAGGTTGGCTTGTTGGGAGCACTGAGACATCAAACATGGTTTCTCCTTCTTCTCTCTTTCACCCTTAACCAAAAAAAAACCCCACCCAATTAGCCCTAGCTTAATAAATCAAATCTCCCTTTTTACAGTTTGTTTAATCCCAAAAGGTTCTCCTCAAACACTTCTCTCTTTCTTTCTCTCTCACCATTAAAACCAATTCACAAGCAAAAAGCTCTGAGCTTTAAATGAGTTTAAGGTCCTCTCCCTCTCTCTACGGTTCCTCCGAAAACAAAAAAAAACAAAAACTGGGTTTTTTCTCGTGTACTTCTTCATATCTTATCTCATCTGTAAGTCTCTGAATCTCACTGTCTTTAATTTTCTTGTCTTTCCTTATTAGTAATCTCATTAATATGTTCTTTTTCAGGCATAAAATTTAACAACCTTCACTGATCATATCATCATCCCACTGGTAAACAAATATATATTGCTTTTTTCTTTTGGTTGATCTCTTTAATTTAGATCCTTCTGAGTTTTTAATTTAAAAAATAAAAAATAAACTCCAAGAAAAAAAAAAGAATGGATATGAGAAGCCATGAAATGATAGAGAGAAGAAGAGATGACAATGGCAACAATGGTGGTGTTATTAGTAACATCATTACTACTAATAATGATGATAATTGCAATGGTAATAACAACAACAACAACAACACTCGTGTCTCTTGCAACTCTCAAACCCTAGATCACCACCAAACCAAGTCTCCTTCTTCTTTTTCCATCTCCGCCGCTGTTCAATCCCCAGTACGGTACCGTGAGTGTCTCAAGAACCACGCGGCGAGCGTCGGCGGGAGTGTACACGACGGATGCGGCGAGTTTATGCCGAGTGGTGAAGAAGGAACTATTGAAGCTCTCAGATGTGCTGCTTGTGATTGTCACCGTAATTTCCACAGGAAAGAGATCGACGGTGTCGGAAGCTCGGATTTAATCGCTCACCACCGTCATCACCACCACCACCATAACCAGTACGGCGGAGGGAGAAGACCGCCGCCGAATATGATGCTTAACCCACTCATGCTCCCCCCGCCGCCGAATTATCAGCCGATTCATCACCACAAGTATGGAATGAGTCCTACCGGGGGAGGAGGAATGGTGACGCCGATGAGCGTTGCTTACGGAGGAGGAGGAGGAGGAGCAGAGTCGTCGAGTGAAGATCTAAATATGTATGGACAGTCCAGCGGAGAGGGAGCAGGAGCGGCGGCGGGGCAAATGGCGTTCTCGATGTCGTCGTCGAAGAAACGGTTCAGGACAAAGTTCACGACGGAGCAGAAGGAGAGGATGATGGAGTTTGCGGAGAAGCTAGGGTGGAGGATGAACAAGCAAGACGAAGAAGAGCTTAAAAGATTCTGTGGTGAGATCGGAGTCAAGAGACAAGTCTTCAAAGTTTGGATGCATAACAACAAGAACAATGCCAAGAAACCACCAACACCTACAACTCTCTAAATCACACTCACACCTCATCATGATTCATCAACTACTTAATTCAGAGTGATTATGTGTAAGAGATTTACTTTAATCTCTTTGTTGCTGTTTTTTTTTGTTTTAAAATGTTTTTCTCTAGGTTTTTGTAGTTTGTACGATCTTTGGATCAATCAATGGATCTTTTGTTTTCTTAGTTTAATGTTTTTAATTAATTTGGATTTGCTTTTTTTGGTGTGTGTGTTTTTTTTATTGTACTTGTTGTAATCAGCTTCTGTTCCTTATAAGTAGTTTATGCTTCTGTCTTCTTTTACATTTAAGCTTTGACAGAACCAATTATGTTGTACTAACTTAGATACCCAAATACAAAATTACAATTAACATTTTTATACAAGAGTCTAACAAAAGAAACAAAAAAAGAAGAATCCGACCTAACCGTACGTCAAATGAAAACACCTAAACGTATAATGCATATAGTCTTCAGCTATGTTTAGCAGATTTGCTTATTATCTATGTCAAGATTTTAAAAATGGTTGTATATATTGTAAAGGTAAATATAACCACGAATTTTAGAAAATAAGAATTATATGATAAACTAGATGCATACGCAAGCGTTATGATCAAAGTTGAACTTTTTTAAATGTTTGATGTGAAATATGTCCAAAATTGTAACCATATGATTTGAGTCTACTGTAGATCTGTCACCTTCCAAATTTGTACCAAAAAGAAAAACATGTGAAAATAAATATTTGAAAGAAAAAGAGAAGAAGATTATCATTTGTTATAAAATTAACAGATGAGGCCAAAATTATAGAACTCACGACCTATGTATCTTCTTCTTCTTTTTTCTGTGTCGTCACGACCTATGTGTCTATGCTACCAAATGTAATAATTGGTTATAAATTATATTTTTCGAGCTTTCTCTTTTGCGCAACCATTTTTATAAAAAATAAAATCTTAATTCTTACAGAATTTATGTTTACTTCCTTTGAGAAAAAAAAAAAGAAAGTGGGCCAAAAGATATTTTATACTTCAAAAGCTGGACATCCGTATGCCACTCTGACCGACGTCGTTTTGTACTTAAGTCGGCCAGCTTGCTGTATATGTTGGGCTGGTTCAACGGTTTAAGGCCTGACTACAATAACAGTCAGCCTAAGAAAGCCCATAAAATAGCCCAGCGTAACATTCTGATAACAACCATATGTTATGGCTGTATTTAGCAGTGAGAAACAAAAAAAACTAATAATGATTTGCTTGATTAAGCCAATTCACAGCTACTTATTGTTTTCTTCTTTCGGCAAGCTTTTTGTATAAATCACTCTTCCCCATTTCCTAAATTAGGCAAAACTATATTCTTGTCGGCTTTATAAAGTTTATTATATTCTCTAGTTGATTATATCAAATACTCCAAGTTTACAAAACACACAGCCAAAGTTTTTAATTTTCTTCAATTAAAATATAACACAAATTAAGACAAATATGACATGTTCTGAACTTCTGATCCAACAAACATAAAATAAAAAGAGAGACAAATACGAAAGCGAATGATGAACACAAACTTAATCAGAAGACATCAAAAATCACATAATCACTATGAATCTTTTTTACTAGGCCTTCTTTACTTCGATACATAAACTCCTATATCTTCACGTTGATGTCAGTCATCAACTTAGATCTTCAAATTCTTCTTCATCACCCTGTACAAGAATTAATACAGCATAAACGAAGGCATGTTTAATTAATAATTCAAGCATGTTGATTAGATTCCATCCAATCATATATAATTAATTATTTAATTAAACAACTTGAAGATATCGTTAACTAGAGGTTTCTAATTACTCGAGTTTTTTGCTATTATAACAACTTGTGTAATATAAATAACACTATGTCAACCACCGACCATGTACAGAAGTAGAATTAACCAATTTATCCATTTATGTACATGTATCCTTATCATGATATAATCTTGTGTGCTTCAAAATATTTTTAAGACAATATAATGTGGCATGTGATGAGGTACAAGAAAGGATTAGATTTCATGTGAATATTTCCCTTTACTGTGTTAATTGGTTTGTTTCAATTACAACATTAGTTTACATTTATATTTAAACAGACAAAAACAAAAACCATGATAAGTAAGTGATTTATAAATACTATAATTTAAAAAGAAAATTTAAAGTTCATAATTAATATATATTTTGGACAAACTAGTCATATCAACATGGAGCAAGCTAAAACCACAGAAATATTATAAACCTTTCGAGAGAATTCCTCAAAATCATCACTAAAATGACTATCAAAATCGTGAGAGAGTTATCAGGCATAGATATTTCGTTATATACCTTGTGTCGAAGTCGCTGGTGCCTCTTGGTTTAGATTCCATGGTCTTGTATTTGGGCAAAGGGACACGACCAGACTCGATGTTGATGAGATCCTCGACGAGAATGTCATAGTGATGCTTCACTTCCTCTACAGATTTCCCTTCGACAGCTTTCGCCACATTGTGCCAACGGTCGGGTGTGTCCTTGTCGTAAATTGCCAAGGCCCTCTCGAACATCTTGTTCTGATGGAACGTCCATGAAGAGGTCGAACTTGTAGAGTTTGACGCCATTTGTTTTCTAACTTGAGAGGGAAAGGAAAAAGATAGAAAAAAGAGAGAGAGAGTAAGTGATGAGAGTTGCTGTAAAATGAAATGCAAGGAAGGGTTCCTTATAAGGAGGAGAAAAAGTGACTTCCTAGATTCTGCAAGTTGGAGATTTTTCTATTATAATTATATTTTGTTTTTTCATTAATTAAGTTTGTATAAAACACGTTTTCTCCATAATAACGGTCAATTGTGTGATTTAGAAAAGGTCAGTCGTAACGCCAAAATAATAATTTCTCATTGTATTTTTGTAAAAATTAAATGTATTTTGTCCGGAATCTCACATGATAAGTGTGATAAAAACGTAAGAGTAATATATAAAAGACAAACAATTTTATCATTGCTAATTGACCAAAGAAATAAAGAAAATGTAAACTTAAAAATATCTCTTTTCAAAATTGGGAAGATTTTTTTTTATTATTTTGTTTTTGTGTTCTATTTTTTGTTTGTTCATGAATGATATTGTTAAAAAGAAGGCACAACTTAAGCATTAGTGATAGTTAGGAGCTATTTTGGGACAATGCACATCTAAGTAAAAATGTTGTGACCGGTTGATCATATCGAGAACCGGTTCACAAGTTGGTAAGTTGAAGAACTTGGGGGTAATGTAGTGATAATAGACAGAAGATTACAACACTGGTGAGCTTGTTTTAGCACGTACGTATACAGTGTTCGATATCTTAAACAATTAAGAGAGTGATTGGTACATTTATCCTAAAAAGTTACTGGAATGAAAAGGGTTTATAGCCTTATATATACCAGAATACATCTTTTAACACCCAAAGCATATAAAAAGATGCTTGAATGAAAGTCTAAGTTATATCCGCAGCATTAACTGATAATGAAACCAATGCAAAAATGCTTGAGACTGAACAGAAAAAAAAAAAAAAGGATTCGAGATGTCATCTTCATTATCTCCGTAACCAAAGTTCGTGGATATTTGTGAAAAAGAAAAGTCATTGTCATTTACCAATTCAAAAATGATAGATAAATATATTCTCCGGGACCTTGAATCTAATGACTTTTCATGTGTGATGTAATTGAAGAGACCCATTTGTAATGACAAGCATTTTTATAAGAACCACCAAAGGTTTGATGCAAAGGGAATAAGGACATAGCCTGCCTAGCTAGAAAAAAATATTACAAAAGAATAAGAACATAAGGGATATTATCGTTTCCTTTTGTGATAAAATTCCTAATATCCAAATCTAATCTATTTTCTGTTGTAAATACTTTATGTCTAATGAAAGCGACGAAAAAGTTTTGTAATTTCATTGGTATTGTTCATTTGATTATAATTGGAGTCGAAGGTCTTTCGAAAGGATAGTGTTGGCTATTTGTAGATTCGAGTCACAGTAAAGAACAATTATATATGTGTATACACACTAATACACAAGCATTAAAAAATGTTATGAAAACGAAATATTGCAAAAGACTTTGGTATATCAGAATCACACTATTTGAATTCTTGGTTTACGAGAACGTAATACATCAGGTGTGTAAAACGCATGAGATGAATTTAGTGGAATAAACACGATGAACTGGATGGACATGATAGCTAGAGAAATAATGTTGTTCTATTCAAAACATAAAGTCTACTGTATATGAGTTTCAACTTTGAACACACACATTTGAAAGATGATCTTCATCCGTCACAAAGTAGACACCTAATATTTGTTATATAAAAACACAAAACAAAGTATTGCACTATTGCTCACATGAAATGTAGATAAAATGCGAAATCTCAAAAACTTTTTAATTAAGGATCTAGTGAACAGTTGCACCATCTTGTTACTTGTAAGCTATAATCTATTCAATTAGATTTTATGATACAACTTTACACGGTCTGATCAAACTTTGGAAACTTCACCTATATCGTTTTAGAGATGCTTATAAACCTTGAAGAAGCTGAAATATATCCTAGTCAGTAGTTACCATCAGTATTTATTTTCAACAAGCCCCAGCTCACTCACTATGGTAAAAGTTAGAACCAGTACACTCTTTTGAATGATGCTCGGATCGGATAGCCCTAGATACTTGGTCGATATTTTTTTCGTCGTTAAAATGTATTCCTATGTTCAGTGTCTTAAAACTGCTGCTTGCCTGCTTGAAGAAGACTCTGTATTTTCTTTTCTTGTTAAATATTTCACTTTTTTTGAAGTTTTCCCTATGTTCTTTGCTTCTTTGTAAGGCTCTCTCTGTTATAACCCAAGGAACCAAAAGCATCCATTGAACACAGAGATTCCAAAGATAACTTCACTGCAGAAAGAAACCGATCACTTTTCTTTACCTACCTGAAAAGTTATCTTTTCTCCACAAAAGCTACACATGCACATACATACAAATAAACACAAACAGAGATGAATGAATCGAATAATTACTCTTTACTATTTACCCCAGTATATATTTTTTTTTTTTTTGATATCTCTCTACAATCATCATGCCTCCTTTCCGTTTTTACATCCCATTCTTCTCCTCCAACTCTCCTTCTCGTCTCTCTTCAGGGACTAGTTCTTCGCCATCACCACCACCTACTCCTTCTCCTTCTACACGACCTCCTTTTCGTCCTGCAGGCATTGCTCAGCCCTCAAAGCCAGAAACAAAGCCTAAGGCGACTCCCTCACTTTCTAGGGTTAGAAGCAACGGTGCGGCCATTGCTGCTGCTTTGTCTGCGTCACCTTCTCGTGGTACAGCCACTCCAACCCGGCTGGCAAAACCGACTACCCAACAACTTGGTTCGCCGTCAAAGAAACTGGAATCTCCGAGGAAGGAGGAGAAAAAGGTAACGATGAAAGAGAAGCCATCGAGAGACACTGAAAATGTAGTTAGCGAGAAAATAAATCCGGTGACAGAGAAACCTCCTATTGCTCGTCCAGAAGAGAATTTAGAGCGAAAAGAAACAGATGCAGTTCAGGAACAGAGGAAGAAGACAGAAGCAGAGAAACAAGCGGTGCAAGAAAAGAAGAAAGCTCTTCCTGAAGGTAGTGGAGAGAAGAAGTCAGCAGCAGATCAGGGACAACAGAAGAGAAAAGAAATCGAGAAACTTGCGGTACAAGAAAGGAAGGAAGTTCTTCATGACGGCGGTAGAGAGAAGTCAGAAGCTGACCAGGGACAACAAAAGAGAAATGAAAAGGAGAAACTTGCGTTACAAGAAACGAAGAGAGCTCTTCAGACTGCTGGTAGAGAAGATACAACGCTAAGCAAATCCACACGACATATGGCAGCAGCATCAGGAGCACCGAGAGATCTACCGGAGAGAGAGACAAAAACGCAAAACAGAACAGAGATTCACACCGATGGCGACCATCAGAAAACCAAAGTCGCATCAACGAGTAATACTGGAAATCCGAGAGTTACAAATGGACAAGGATCATCTTCAATGAGCAAAAAGATCAAAGAAGACATAAAAGATGGAATCAGTAAGCTTACTTGGGGAAAAAGCAACGGCGATGAGAAATCCGTGAACGTCTATACTCTAACTGGCGAAAACAGAGGAGCTACAATGGGAATAAGTTCTGAGAAAGACAAAAAAGACGGTGAGGTTCATATTCGCCGTGGATACAGAAGTAACCCAGACGAGAGCCCTAACACTACAGCCACGGAACCCGAAGGAGGAAGAAACCCTAAAGACTACGACGAAGAAAAAGAAGAAGCAAGGTTCAGGGCATACATAAACGGCAACACTCAAGGGATCAACAATTCGATTATAGTTGAGAGTTCAGTGAGTGAGAATGATCCAGGAGTTCACATGAGTTTGACATTTGAGAAATCTATGAAAGAAATTATAAACCCCCCTGAGAAGAATGTGACGGAGAAGAGACCAGAGACGGAAAAGGTTACGGAGAAGGTGAGGAATGAGCCGAGAGTTAGAAGGAGATGCTTAAGAGGGTTACTTGCGGAGTCAAGTGAGTCTGAACCGGGTAATCCTTTGAAGTCCCGGAGACATGGTTGCCGGTTTACCTGTAAAGACAAAGATATAGAGAACACTTCAAAATAATTAATGTACATGAAATTTATGTAAACGCTTTAATTGCTCCTTGTTAACTATGGTTTAAAAAAGAATAGAAATTGGAATACAATGTAATTAACTCATTATTAGTATCATTGGAAGTCTGGAAGAGTATTTGAACTTGTGTCATCTAGCATTGACTTGCATAAACCAGAGTTTGAGTTAGAAGAAAAGAAATTAGAGACTGGGAAAGCGAAGTCAGAGTTTGAAATGAAGGCTGAGCTCCGCCGTGCTGTTGAAGCCCAAGGTGTACCGTACATATATGCGAGCAACAACTGCTTTGATGGCTATCTTACCTAATCTTGCACATTGTGAAGTGAGATTCACTTCTCCTAGAGATAAAGTCACCATCTATGGGGATTGCAACGCAACACTAAAGGTAAAATATTGAGGCCAAGATCTAATCAAAACCTGCAATTGAGAGATTAGATTGGAATTTTCTGATTTGGTTGAATGAATTGCAGCTATTCTGAACAAAGAAGAAGACATTGCTGCATACACTATGAGAGCCATTAATGACCTCAGAACTCTTAATAAGACTCTCTCTACATCAATCCTCCAAAGAAAATTGTTTCACAAGCGAAATTGTCACATTATGGGAGACAAAACATTGGTAATTTGGAGAAGACTCACTTTTCAGAGAAACAACTTCTCAAGAAAATCCCAGGCGAGAGAGCTAATTTCACCCTCTTTTATACAATGCATTACTTTTCTGGACAATCAAGATCATGTGTTGGCTAATACTTGGAAGTGATGCAGAGTCTCCACATCCACTTGATATACTATTGGCTTTGAATCATGCCATATTTGTGAAGGGAATTTTACAATGGAGCCTTCCTCTGTAGTGGAAGCTTCTCAGCTTTATCCTGATATCAAGTACACAAGCGTCGATGAGTATCTCAGCCAGTTTGTCTGAAAACTTCACCTTGTAGTAAGCAATTACTGTAATCGAGAGATTGACTATAGGTCTGTAATCCCAAACTGAATTAGAAATATACATTATCAAACAGAACATGATTGTTTATTGCATCATTATTGATAGGAGGTTAACCAACTCTTACAAAAAAAAAACAAGAACACACGCATATTCATTATTGGGTGAATAGTCCTAGACAACATTGACTGGAGAAGCATGGATCCACATCAAGCGTTCACCTTAGATTCCCAACCCGCAACAACAAACTCATTCTTAGCCTTGGTTTTTTCGAATGACTCTCTAGCAAACAAAGCATTGGCGTAGTTACGAACATTAGTCAAGCTCTCAGGGACAGACCATTTCTTGTAATGACCAAGAGCAACCTCAAGATGGTAAAGCTTAGGTGCTAAACTCAGATCCACAGCAGTAACTTTCTCTCCGGCTACAAAAGGACCAGAATGTGTCTTCAAGTGATTATCCAAGGCTTCTAACTCATCGACCAAGGCCTTCTCGGATCCGTCATTGGCATCTTTGCTCTTCAAGAAAGTCACAAAAGCACCAAAGATTTTGGATCCCACAGAGGCAAATTCAGGAGGAGTCTTGAGAGAAGGCTCAGGAAATTTCTCCTCAAGAAGTCCAACGATAACGTCAGAATCAGCCACCCATTTGCCGTCAAGCTTCATCAGCGGAACTTTCCCCTCTGGGCTAATGTCTAAGAACCTATAAGCAAACAAAGTCATAAGATTTATCAAAGCCCACAAATTTACAGAGGATACAGAATCTAAAAGTGCCCCAAAATCAATAAAAATCTAAACTTTCATCAACTTTATTATGATTTCGATTTTGGGGTTACTACAGTAGTACTCAAAATCACAGAACATTACATACCACTGGGGTTTTTCGGAGACGTTAATCAGATGGATCTTGTAGGGAAGCTCCTTCTCCTCGAGGGTCAGAAGAACACGTTGGCTAAACGGGCCTGAAACCAAAAAAAAAGAACAAAATTCGAGAATTCATCGAATAAATCACAAACAATTCACATACAGAAGAAAAACCCTAATTAGTGAAATCAAAGCTTGATCGATCATACAGTCTCCGAGAACATCAGGAGCCCCGACGGCAACCTTGACGCAGATATCGAGAGCCATCGATCTTTCGATTTTCGCAATTGAGTCGGAGAATAAGATTCTCTTTTGAAAGCAAAAATGAAATATGGAAAGTATCTTTCAAAATTTAAGGAATCTTTGGTTTGGTTTGGTTTGAATACCATATTGTAGGTTCGTTCATGGGAAAATTTGTGACGTCACTGATGAAGTGGCTGTTACGTTCAGTGTTTTCCAATATATTCGAAGTTTGACCCCAAAAAAAGCTAATGATGTTGGAATGTATTTGTCAGTGAATTTGATCAATATTGTGTCCAGATTCCATATGCAAATTGATATTACCATAAACACTAATCTAATTTGTCGTTTGTTTTTTTTACTTTTGCCTTTTTGGTTTAAAGATTTAGTTTTGCTTAGTGTGGTTTACATCAACCACATTATATAGTTTTTGACCAATTAATGAGAATTAATCTTACATCTCACTATGTTCTTTAAAACCCTTCTAATGGAGGGTTAAGAGCGTGGGTCAGTTGATGATGAGAATAGTATTAATTTTATTTAAGAAAATTGTAATTTTATTAAGCTTCCGGTTAACAACAATTTTTCTGTTTTAATTAATGTTTCTTTTGGGTTTAATGAGGGATACATCATACATGAGAGTTTTGATGTGGAGGCACTAACAAGAGAAATAATTAAATATAAATCGTAGAATAGAAGTAAGGTTCGGTAAGGCTATTATCGTAAATCAGTCAATCACTGGTCTGGTCCATAAATTGGCCTGTCAAAGCCATTCATTCACTCACATTCCAAATCATTCTCCTACCACTCAAAACCAAACACCTTTTGAAACTAAAAAACATGGCGTCTGAGAAAAGCAAGATTCTAGTGATCGGAGGAACTGGTTACATTGGAAAATTCATAGTAGAAGCTAGCGTTAAAGCCGGCCACACCACATTCGCTCTCGTTAGAGAAGCAACTCTCTCCGATCCCGTCAAAGGCAAAACCGTCCAGAGTTTCAAAGACATCGGCGTCACTATACTACATGTATTCTTCATTTCTAGTAATCTGTACTAACATACGTTCGTTTCATTACTATAACTTTTACTTATTTTGACTTGGTCAGGGAGATCTGAATGACCATGAGAGTTTAGTGAAGGCCATTAAACAGGTCGATGTGGTCATATCAACCGTAGGGAGCATGCAAATCTTGGATCAAACCAATATCATTTCCGCCATTAAAGAAGCCGGTAACGTCAAGGTCGGTGTGTATAAATATATATATTCTAGATTAGTCTATATATTGGCTCATTTGTGATATAGTGTTGTCGCTCATATTGGATATGTTATTTGTAGAGATTCTTGCCGTCTGAGTTTGGGGTGGATGTCGACAGGACAAACGCGGTTGAGCCCGCAAAGTCAGCCTTTGCAGGGAAAATACAGATCAGGAGAGCGGTCGAAGCGGAAGGAATACCATACACTTACGCTGTGACCGGTTGCTTTGCCGGTTACTACCTACCGACATTGGTTCAGTTCGAGCCTGGTCTCACTTCTCCTCCTAGAGACAAAGTCACCATTTTAGGCGATGGAAATGCCAAAGGTTGGCTTTTCAGAATTTAAAAAATATTATAATGTGCTTTGTATTTTATACATGAATTTAATTATATGGTCTTACTTGGCAGCTGTGATTAACAAGGAGGAAGATATTGCTGCTTACACGATTAAGGCGGTGGATGATCCGAGGACTTTGAACAGAATCCTTTACGCTAATCCTCTTGACAACACTTTATCGATGAACGAAATGGTCACCTTGTGGGAGAAAAAGATAGGCAAGTCTCTCGAGAAGACTCACATCCCAGAGGAACAAATCCTTAAAAGCATCAAAGGTTTTATATAATCAAGAAATTTTTAGATTCTTTAATTAATTACAGCCTTTTCTAATTAGCTTAACAAAAAGTTTTTATCTTATTTTTTATTTTGTTGTGGTTTTGGCAGAGTCTCCGGTTCCCATCAATGTTCTTCTGTCGATAAACCACGCAGTTTTTGTGAACGGAGATCAGACCAATTTCACCATAGAGCCTTCGTTTGGTGTGGAAGCCTCTGAGCTTTACCCTGATGTCAAGTACACGAGTATCGATGAGTATCTCAGCTATTTTGCTTGAGGAACTTGATAAAACACTTCATTACCACCACGACGTATTTCATGTTTGTATCACTAAAAATTATCCTTGTTATGCGTGTGTGTGTGTGACTCGTCATGCACAGTGATTATTTACCTCTATTTCCGATATTTTGATGGTTATGAATTATATAAGTAATACATATTTCAAATGCTAAACTAAGTAGGTATACGTGCTAGTCATTATTATGCACAATGTTATGAAATATACAATTTGTTTATTGCATAGTGATTAGTACGTGTAAAGGTTTAAGAATATATTCTTCATAAGAATTATTATCTATAGCATGCGGATCAATACGTGTATGTATACCATTAAGAATTTAAGTTCTAATTTATTCAGATAAGTTTTAATGTATCAATCAGAAACAAATATAAATAATGAACTTAAACAAATAAAAATTAAATATTAATAAATGACCTATCGATTTATGAGAGAATTTGCGAAGGTTTTGTAATGGCGTGAGTCACAAATGTTACCAAATTTAAAAACCTTTAATTAGGGAATAGGATTTGAATTTTATAAGCGAAGGTAGGTAAATAATAAGATTTAAGTTTTTAAAGTAGAGCTCGACATAAACAAGTTAATAGATAATTAAATATTTTTAGACTCAATTGTCGACAAGGCAAAAAGAAAATATCTTATAAGTAAAGCAAGGTTAGGTATTATCGTACATCAATCAACCATAAATTGATGTTCCTCCGCTTACATCGTTCTCGTAGCAACTAAAACAGAGAAGACACTCATTATCTCGTACGGTCTCAAACTTAAACATGGCGTTAGAGAAAAGCAAGATCCTGGTGATCGGAGGGACTGGTCACATCGGCAAACTCATTATAGAAGCGAGCGTGAAAGCACGGCACTCCACCTTGGCTCTCGTTAGAGAAGCCTCTCTCTCCGATCCCGTCAAAGGCAAAATCGTCCAGAATTATAAAGATCTCGGCGTCGCAATACTACACGTACGCTTGACAATCCTTCCTTTGATATCTTTGATAAAAGATTTTCAAGAACCGTAACCTGGTTATGTATATAAACTTGGTCAGGGGGATTTGAACGATCACGAGAGCTTAGTGAAGGCCATTAAACAGGCCGATGTGGTTATATCAACCGTCGGGAGCATGCAAATCTTGGATCAAATCAAGATTATTTCAGCCATTAAAGAAGCCGGTAACGTCAAGGTCAGATTTCTCCATTAGATCGAATTTGTAAATATCATGTACTGGATTTCTTGTTTTACAGAGCTTTAATAGGATGGACTATGTCATGTGAATATATAAATTAAAAGTCGATCGACTAGTCTAGTGATTTGTGATAGTGTTGTCGGTCGGTCACCACCTCATTCAAACCAGCATAATGCATTTTGTTGAAAAAAAGTTCATCCAAATAGTCTTTATATTGGATTGACGTTATTTTCAGAGATTCTTGCCGTCTGAGTTTGGGATGGACGTAGGGAGGTCGAGTAAGGTTGAGCCAGCGAAGTCGGCTTTTGCGAGGAAACTAGAGACCAGGAGAGCCGTTGAAGCGGGAGGAATACCATACACTTACATTGTTACCAATTACTTGTCCGGTTACTACTTGCCCACATTGGTACAATTCGAGCCTGGTCTCTCTTCTCCTCCTAGAGACAAAGTCACAATATTTGGCGATGGAAATACCAAAGGTTAGTTTCATATCCAAACACTAATGTGTTTTTTATACAGTAGTTCAAAATGAATCTAACACGGTCGAATATTTCGCAGCTGTGTTCAACAAGGAGGAAGATATTGCTGCTTATACGATCAAAGCCGTGGATGATCAGAGGACTCTGAATAAAACTCTCTACATTAACCCTCCTAACAACACTTTGTCCATGAACGAGATAGTCACCTTGTGGGAGAAAAAGATTGGCAAGTCTCTTGAGAAGACTTACTTGTCAGAGGAACAAATCTTTAAGAGCATCCAAGGTTTGAAATATCATCAAATCATGATGTTTTTAGATTCTTTAGCACTGCCTTCTGCATTAGCTAAATAAAAAGTTCTTTTTTTTTTTGTTTCTTTGGCAGAGTCTCCGGTTCCCATCAAAAATCTTTTGGCCATAAACCACTCTGTGTTTGTGAAGGGAGATCAGACCAATTTCACTATAGAGCCTTCTTTCGGTTATGAAGCCTCTGAGCTTTACCCTGATGTCAAATACACTACTATTGATGAGTATCTCAGTTATTTTGTTTGAGGTACTTGATCATAAATCACCTTGTGTACCACCATGACAATAGTTTCATGTTTGTATCAATAAAAATGATTCTTGTGATATCTCACAGTGCTTTACCTCTGTTTTGATCTTTCAATGGAAAATGAATTAATATTCTTATTCATTATTTTTCAACCCAATGGAGCTCTTGAGTACCACCATAGTGCATCCATGAGTAAGCCACAATAATATTATCTCACAAATTCACATATCTTTGTATGCATATTTGTATATAATTGTTTTCATATATTATCGTTTGTGCTAGAATTCATGTAATTTGTATTTTACGAACAGAACATGGGAGTCAAAAACTGTTCACCACATGGGATGTCGAGTGAGGATAATATTTGTTCGTAAATCAACTCACCAAATATTGTCCATAAAGAATTGCCCTGTCAACGCCATTCATTCCTTCACTCAGATTCCACACATCATCACTATTCAAGTAGCATTCATTCATTAGTCATTACCACATTCGAAACATGGCGTCGGAGAAAAGCAAGATTCTGGTGATTGGAGGGACTGGTTACATGGGAGGATTCATTGTTGAAGCTAGCGCTAAATCCCGTAACCCAACGTTTGTTCTTGTCCGAGAAGCGTCTCTTTCAGATCCCGTCAAGTGGAAAACCATCCAGAGTTTTAAAGATCTCGGTGTCACAATACTACACGTATGCATGAACTATCATTTTCTAACATGTATACAAATTTATAACCATAACCTTAGCTATGTAACTTGTCAGGGAGATTTGAATGATCATGAGAGCTTAGTAAAGGCCATCAAACAGGTCGATGTGGTGATATCAACCGTTGGAAGCATGCAAATGTTGGATCAAACCAAGATAATTTCCGCCATTAAAGAAACCGGTAACGTTAAGGTCAGAATTTGATTCATCATCAAACTCGTTACCAGTGACAATTGTAGATAGTAGTCTCTTACTAGATACGTAGCTGATGTTTTCCAGAGATTCTTGCCGGCTGAGTTTGGGGTAGACGTGAAGAGAACCAGTGCCGTTGAGCCGGCAAAGTCATTTTTTGCAAGGAAGGTACAGATAAGGAAAGCCATAGAAGCTAAAGGAATACCATACACCTACGTTGTTAGCAATTGCTCTGCCGGGTTTTACTTGCGTACATTAGTTCAGTTCGAGTCTAGTCTCATTTCTCATACTAGAGACAAGGTTATCATCTTTGGCCACGAAAATGTTCCTCCTAGAGACAAAGTCACCATTTTAGGCGATGGAAGTGCCAAAGGTTGAGAATTTTATAATGTAATATAAAGTATAGTATAATAACAAAAAATTTAATATGACAAGTTATAGATTGTTTTTACAGTTGTAATCAACAAAGAGGAAGATATTGCTGCTTACACAATCAGGACAGTGGATGATCCAAGGACTCTCAACAAAACCCTCTACATAAGACCTCCTAAGAACACTTTATCGATGAACGAAATGGTCACGTTGTGGGAGAAAAAGATCGGCAAGTCTCTTGAGAAGACTCACATCTCAGAAGATCAAATCCTTAAAAGCATCCAAGGTAATAAATCAAAATCTGACCATTTATCACCAAGAGAGGTTTTTTTCATTGCTAACAAAAAAAGAATTTTATCTTCTTTTTGCGTAATCTCCAGTTCCGATGGATGTTTTTAAGTCGATAAACCACGCGGTGTTTGTCAGAGGAGATCAAACCAATTTCACCATAGAGCCTTCGTTTGGTGTGGAAGCCTCTGAGCTTTACCCTGATGTCAAGTACACGAGTATTGATGAGTATCTCAGCCAATTCACTTGAGATGTACAATTTCATAAAAGCACACATTCGCCAATACAATGACGTCAGTTACATGTCTGTTACAATAATAAGGATTCTCGTATATATATAGAAGTAACGTGTGTGTACTGTGGCTACTCAAGCAAAATGATAGTATATCTCCGTATCTTGTGTCATTTAAAGCTTAAGGTACATCTGCGAGCTAGTCTGAGATCCCCAAATCGTTTCCAAACCCCACTGGGAAAATTCTCAGTGACCACCATAGGATCAAGACTGATGCACCTGAAGCTTCTTGTCGAACGAAGGGACATCATCCGAAAGAGGCTATGGCTACCTGGTTGATCTTCAAAATGCATAAGAGTATATACGGTATAACTAAGATTTTAAGAACTTCAATGAAGTTACTTCATTCATGCGTAAGGTGTAAGATCGCGCCACTCATACAACGGATCAAGTGTCCCAACATATATAGTAGTAAACATAATACTTAAATAGTTATATCAATGTTAAAAAAGAAAATTGGTATACCAAATTTCTAGGAAAAATTTATTTTTAAAATAATCTCTGTATATACAAAAGAAGGCAAGTCCTAAGATCATGTTCATCTACATGAGCACCTCCGACAAAAGTTCTTAAAGAGTATAGTGTATATATTTAAGAATTAAAAAATAAAAATAAAAATAAAAAAGAAAAAGTAGGAAAGAAAACAATAAAGGTTGCAAAGCATTTTAGAGATATTTTTACATAATAAATGAATTATATATTTAAATTTTAATAATAAAGAAGAAAACAAATGAAACCCAACTATTATATGGAAGACAAGTGTCTTAGAGCAACATTATAGGTAGGATGCTAATTTTTGATATTAGCATTAATTTATAATTAATTTTGAAAAAGTAAAGCTTAAGAGTTATAATTTTGTTTTTGGTTTTGGGATGTGTTTATTGGTGGGATCTTAAGTTGGGTATCTTAGAAAAAAAATTAATTTTTAAAAATTAAATAAATTTATAATTTGTAATTTTAGAAAATTTTATAATTATTGCAAATTTAGAATTTGAAAACATACATAAGATATATATTTATTATAATAAAGAAAGAAAGAAAGAAAAATTAGAACATTTTCTCACTCTTTCTTCATTTTTTTTTCAAATGTTTTATATATACAATATAACCTTTCAATTGATGTCCTGCATTCTTTTTACCCAAAGTTGTTTATTTTTTTTTGGGGGCCAAACCCAAAGTTGTTTATCATGTGTGAATTTAAAAAAGTGTAAAAATTATGATGTGACATGGTGAATCAGTGGGTATTATTGTAAATCAGCCCACAAATTATTGTCAATAAATTGCTCTCCTGCAAACGCCATTTCCATCACGCAATTCCACAGCATTGGTATTCAAATCGTAAGCACTAAATTATTATTCAAGTCTAAAACTAAGCATGGCGACGGAGAAAAGCAAGATTCTGGTGATCGGAGCGACTGGTTACAAGGGGAAGTTCATCGTCGAAGCGAGCGTGAAAGCCGGCAACCCGACGTTTGCTCTTGTCCGAGAAGCATCTCTTACCGATCCCATCAAGGAAAAGACCGTCCAGAGTTTTAAAGATCTTGGCGTCACAATACTACACGTACGTACGCATGAACTCTAATCTCTCTCTAACATGTTCCGTAGATGTTCACCCTATACAAAGTATAACATTAACCTTACTCTAATCAGGGAGATTTGAATGATCACGATAGCTTGGTGGAGGCCATAAAACAGGTCGATGCGGTGATATCAACCGTTGGCCACATGCAAATCTTGAATCAAACCAAGATCATTTCCGCTATGAAAGAAACTGGTAACGTCAAGGTTGGTATTTGATTCAAACCCTTACTACATATACATAGCTTTTTAAAAAATATTTAGGTTACATATAAATAGCTATTACACACACATGTATATATTGTATATATATATATATATATATATATATATATATATATATATATATATATATATATATATACGAGATTTGTAGTTGATGTTTAATTCTTTTGCAGAGATTCTTGCCGTGTGAGTTTGGTAGTGACGTAGACAGGACAAGTGCCCATGAGCCGGCAAAGTCATATTTCGCCGGGAAGGTAGAGATCAGAAGAGCCATAGAAGCTGAAGGAGTACCATACACATACGTTGTTAACAATTGCTCTACCGCCTTTTACTTGCGTACCTTAGCTCAGTTTCAGTCTGGTCTCACTTCTCCTCCTAGAGACAAAGTCACCATTTTAGGTGACGGGAATGCCAAAGGTTGATAATTTATTATGCAGACAGAAAAAATGAATCTAAAAACAGGAAAGCAAGATTTGTATATTAAGTTCCATTTTTTTCGATTTCGCAGCTGTGTTCAACAATGAGGAAGATACCGCTTCTTACACGATCATGGCAGTGAATGATGAGAGGACTCTGAACAAAATCCTTTACATCAATCCTCCTAAGAACATTTTATCGATGAACGAAATAGTCACCTTGTGGGAGAAAAAGATCGGCAAGCCTCTTGAGAAGACTTACTTGTCAGAGGAACAAATCTTCAAAAGCATCGAAGGTTTTAGAAAATGTTTCTAAGGTTCTTTTTTTTACTGGTCTTTTTCATTTGCATAATATAACACATTTTTGTTTATTCCAGAGGCTCCGGTTCCAATCAATATTCTTCTGTCCATAAACCACGCGGTGTTTGTGAAGGGAGATCAGACCAGTTTCACTATAGAGCCTTCGTTCGGTGTGGAAGCCTCTGAGCTTTTCCCTGATGTCAAGTACACCACTGTCGAGGAGTATCTCAGTCAATTAGAGTGAGAATATTAGTAAACCACCATATTCACCTGGATGACGACGAATATATATAGTTTCATCATAGTCGTAACAATAAATAATGATTCTCGCAATGGTGAAGAAAATGTGTGTGGATGTGTGTGCTTGTGTCTATTTTCGCGTGTGTGTATGTGTTTTATTATTATTATTATTATTGTTATGTTGTGTGTGTTTGTGTGTATTTTTGTGTGTTTGTGTCACTCTATTTCCGATCGATGAAATATACATTACTTACGGAGTTACGGTCTTACGGACAGTGGCCAGCCTAAAAAATGGTAAGCTTTGGTGCTACACAAGGACCACAAAGAGTTTGGAAAATATAAGTTGTAACTGCAATAGTTCGAAGAAAACTCCAATAATAGAGTTGATAGTTTAAAAAAAAAAAAAAGTTGGCTCGAATTTAGGTTTACTTTTCATACTTCAGACAGTTTATGTTTCTAGTAGCTATATAGGAAACAACATTTTGTTTGTCGTAACATATAATGTAGGAGAAGAAGGAAACTAAAAAACTCTACAAATAAGTTTTCACATTTTTTAGTGAGAGCACACGCGACGCGAAAACCTTGAGACATGATTATAGACCATCCTCATTGGGGGTATCTTAGGAGGCTAAGATACCCCCACTTTTTCAAAGAAAGTATGTTATATAAGGATTTTCTTTGGAAAAGTGGGGGTATCTTAGCCTCCTAAGATACCCCCAATGAGGATGCCCTAAGTTGTTATAAATTAGAGATTCAAGATTAAAATTATTTCATGTTGATTGATTTGTACGATCTTCCTTTTTTGTGTATGAGTGCAGGTAAGAAGGTACGTAATAATTATGATTCGACAATTCTCAAGAAGCACAATTATTATCAAGAAAGTTTTCCTAGTACACCAATTTATTTTCTTGCCGACATAATACATACCTCGTAGTACGTAGTACATGTATAAAACACTTGACTTTACAAAGAAGAAAACTCTATTGAAAACCTAAAATACCCTTAAATACAAAAAAAAAAGATCATCTTAACATATGGAGCGGGTCACATATTCACATTCATTGTTAATTTCATACAGAATTTCTTTAGAAAATCATTTTTTCGAAATTCCAAAGTTTTGGTAGTTTATACAAAAATTTCATTCTATAATTTTTGTGGTTTTAACAAAATAGTTTTACAGCTTTTATATATAAAAAAAAATCATAATTATGTTATAATAGAAAAATATTTTCTTGCAAAACTACAAAATTTCTCAAAAATCATAAATTTTTTATAATTATGTTTTTCCGCCAAAATTAAAAAAAAAATATTTGAATCACATTTTTCGGTTAAAACCATATATACAAATTACAAAATTACATTTTTGCTAATATCAGAACGAAAAGATTGTCTTCGCCACCTTTGGTCTATATTGTGAATATGGTCGGTTGTAGAATTTGGTGTAATTTGCAATTGTCGGAGCAGAACATGTTTATAATGTGAATAACAGATTGAGCAGAGTGAGGGGTACTGTCGTAAATCAACCCACCAAATAGTATCCATAAATAATTGGCCTGCCAACGCCAGTCGTCCATCACTTAAAATCCACAGCAACATCATTCGTTGATTTAGTACGACGTATTCATTAGTCATTACCACGTTTGAAACATGGCGACGGAGAAAAGCAAGATTCTGGTGATTGGAGGGACTGGTTACATGGGAGAATTCATCGTTGAAGCTAGCGCAAAAGCCGGTAACTCAACATTTGCTCTTGTCCGAGAAGCATCTCTCTCCGATCCCGTCAAGGGCAAAACCCTCCAGTTTTTCAAAGATCTCGGTGTCACAATACTACACGTACCTATATGCATGCTCGAACTATATCATTCTCTAACAAGTATACAAATTCATAATTACCGTAACCTTAGTTATGTCATTAACTTGATCAGGGGGATTTGAATGATCATGAAAGCTTAGTAAAGGCCATCAAACAGGTCGATGTAGTGATATCAACCATCGGGCACAAGCAAATCTTGGATCAAACCAAGCTCATTTCCGCTATCAAAGAAGCCGGTAACGTCAAGGTCGGATTTTGATTCCAACCTCATTACTATTATGATATAGTTAATTATGAGAAAAAGGCCTATTGCACATAGTCTCTTATTTGTTGTTTTTCCAGAGATTCTTGCCGGCGGAGTTTGGGACAGACGTGGAGAGGACAAATGCTGTTGAGCCGGCCAAATCATTTTTTGCAGCCAAGGTACAGATCAAGAAAGCCATAGAGGCTGAAGGAATACCATACACTTACGTTGTTAGCAATTGCTCTGCCGGTCTTTACTTGCGTACGTTAGTTCAGTTCGAGCCTGGTCTCATTTCTCCTACTAGAGACAAAGTCATCATTTTTGGCGACGAAAACATTCCTCCTAGAGACAAAGTCACCATATTAGGCGATGGAAATGCCAAAGGTTGAAATTTAGTTTTTATCCCAATGTCACAGAAAGTAAAATTTCAACTTTTTATTTATTTATTTATTAAAGATTATGTATATGACAAGTTATAGATTGTATTTGCAGTAGTGATCAACAAAGAGGAAGATACTGCTGCTTACACGATCAGGACAGTGGATGATCCAAGGAGTCTGAACAAAACACTCTACATTAAACCTCCTAAGAACACTTTATCAATGAATGAAATGGTCACCTTGTGGGAGAAAAAGATCGGCAAGTCACTTGAAAAAACTCACATCTCAGAAGAACAAATCCTTAAAAGCATCCAAGGTAATAAATCAAAATCTGACCATTTATCACCAAGAGAGGTTTCATAAATTCTTTATTACCGCCATAATTCTTTTTTCGTAATCTCCAGTTCCGATGGATGTTTTTAAGTCGATAAACCACGCGGTGTTTGTTAGAGGAGATCAGACCAGTTTCACAATAGAGCCTTCATTTGGAGTGGAAGCCTCTGAACTTTACCCTGATGTCAAGTACACCACTATCAATGAGTATCTTAGTCAAATTCACTTAAAATATCTCCTAAAATCACCTAATTAATTCACCTTTACCATGACGCAAGTTAAATAGTTGTAACAATAATAATGGATGGTGGTCAAGAATGTGTGTTTGTGTGTGCGTGTGAGGTTAAATTAAGTCAAATGTAAGAGACGAATCTTAGGACAGCGAGTGGGCATCAGGGAGCACTTCTTCTTCCTTTATTACGATGTCATTTTAGGCTTCTTCTATAGCTTTCTCTGTAAGGTAGACGTTTCCACTATGGATCCTCCTTATTGGGCCGAGACAATGCGTGAATTTTGATTTTCTAGAAAAACAAAGAACACAAACGAAGCAAGCAAAGGCATGTGGTAGGGTTGTGAATATGCAATGCATATGGCTAAGAGATTCTCTCAAAAGACTACTTTTAGCAAAAAAAAAGCAACTGAAAAAAACTTTAACGCTTATAAAAACCTATAAAAACTTGTAAAGGCCATGGCAGATTAGGGTTTCATGATGCCATCGTCTATCCAAAAAAGCATGAAATACGTTTTATTTGTTGGAAAGGAACGAAAATAATGACACTACGTGAGTATGTATCATGGGCTCCATTTTTTTTTTTTTTGCTTTGACTGACATAATTAGATTCTCGATCGTATGGCAATTGATTTACACATTTTTTCTTCTTCTATAAAGCTACAAAAGTAACTGACCCCATTGCTTAGATTTATACAAGTCAGATCTCAATTGCCCAAAAAGCTTACTGATCAGTTTTGTTTTTGTTTGTCGCCAAGCCAACTCCAACTCTAAATTAGTTGTCTTAATACGAAACTCATCAAAGAGTATGGTATTACTTACATCTCATTTAGGGGCAGAAACTTACCACTATATATGTATTAAGTTTTGTTACATTTTCTTGTTTGGGATTCTTAATACATTATATTAGACATAATCTATCGGGATATTCTAAGTTATGATATAATCTGTTAGTACTGTTTACTTGTACTAGTTAATTATGATTTTGGCTTTCAGATTTTCTGAAAATTGTACTCTCAAATGTTAAGTTGGGTGAAAAATAACCAACGCACTGATTAGATATGAGCAAAACGGTCAACATCGCACACACGCACGAATGATATAATAATTTCTTTATTTTCATCTTACGATGTCATTTTCAGAATCCTAATCATATAATATAAAATCATACTAGATGGTTTAGGAAAAAGGCATTACCAACAGAACCAACACAACAACTATATATATGTCACTGCCACTTATAAGCTACATATAATAGTATCATTAGGTGATCAGTGATCACTAAATACTTTCTTTCATCTAGCTTTGTGGATCATTAGTACAAAATTTCTTTCTCTTTGATGTTTTTTATTCTTTGTTGGCCAGCGATGATACTTTTAAGTTTATAAATTAGCATTATTTTGCGCTCTATATATAATTAGGGAATAAGAAAAATAAACCTGTATAGTTTAGTAAGATCTTATAATCGTTTTATTTGTTTAAAAATACTCAAAGCGGTGATAGCATAGCAGGAACGATCTTGGAAATGACAAAGAGTTTTTGGTCTTTATTCGATTTGTGACTTATGTTTCTTGCCTAACTATTTTTTATATATTTGGGGGTTATTTTTGATAGTATGGATTTTGTCGGGAGATGCATGACTTCTCTGGCTCTTGGTGATTGCCAGCAACTACGAAGCTGTGAATCATTACATTTCTACCAAACGTGTGCATACAATACATTATGTTATTATTTGTATATATTATGCAGTTTCAAATGTAGTAAGCTATATAGATGTGTGTGTTTAATTTTATTTTGTCGTACTTCATTGGACCACCAGCCTGTATAATATAAAGTTTTGGACCACATCCCAAAAAACCACCAAGGGAAGCTTCAAAGTAAAAATCATGACGATGAGAGAGTCATATATATGACCAATATACTTCAAGGAACTGTTGGTTTTTGTATTGTTTTTTTTTTTCTCTTCCAAAATATTGGAGTACAAATAAATATATGTATGAAGGAATTTGTTTATGTTGATTGTCAAAAATATGTGGGAAATTGTGTTTTTTGACAAGAATCCATGTCTTTGTATTATTAAAAACCATGTGATCTATCATTCGAGATAAAGACATACACAACGGCTTTAATATACACTTTTGTAACGCCACTTGTTTTCCGACCCCTTCTCTTGTTATTTTCTTCTGTTTGTTGTATTCTTTTGCATGATTACTTTTGTATAAACCAAATTGATTACAACATCGTATGTGCATCATCAGACTAAGACTCAGTAACCGAAACTGTGTTGGGTTACGTACAAGTGTTATTAAGCGGTATATGTTCATTTCAACAACCGAATCAGTAGCTTATTAATACGTAATCACAACAAACGATTTCGCACTAATTATCTAGTTCACAATAATTGATTGATCCTTTAACAAAGGTTTAATAAATCGATAGCTCTCAAATGGCTCATTCCGGTGTTACTATTTAACAAATGTTCAAAGTTCGAATGATCAACATATTCGGATGATCTGTTTACCAAAATAAAAAGATACATATTCGGATCTAGTTATAACACTGAGAAAAACATATTGTTTGGTTGTACTTGCACTGTTACACATTTGTCTGAATTTATTATATATAAACCACATTATTATTTTTACGTATGAATTTTTTACAAAATAAAATTGTGAAATCTTGCCAATCCACTGGCGAAGAAGAGCATAATAATGCCTAACGGTCGCCAGACAGGAGTCGAGAGAATCGTAGCTTTTTACTATGCTACTTAGATTTCCGAATTTACCCCTTACATTATTTCATCGTCTCTTGATAGCACTTGGAGATAACTGTCTTTTCAGATAACTTTAATATATTCGATTGAACAGATTATAATAGTAAAGAGCCCTTTGAATATTTGTAACCGGATGTGTTTAAGAAAGCAATTAGACATTTCTTTGTCAACAAATATTTATAAATTTGTTACTCTTTATGGTATGATGACAAAAGAAAAAGAAGAAAAGTCAACATGGACTATGGTACTGATATATACGAAATCTCTAATATAATGATTTGCATGATGGTTCTAGTTCAACTAATATTAATAATTTGATTACATGCTCGTTAGTTGCTATATCATGGCTTTGGTGTAGTTTTGACTCTCTTTTTTTTTTTTCTAACTTTCTTGCTCGTTTGAACAAAATAAAAAAACTTTCTTTAGTTTTTTTTTGGTAGTGACTAACTTTCTTTAGTTTTACAAGAATGTAACATTTCTAAAAGGTACATGAACTTACACGAAGGGAGATTGGCGTGTGAAATACTTTTGATTTGACGCACAATTTATCGTACTCCTGATAATAATACCCTTCATTAAATAAATCACACGAATACAAAAAACAAAGAAAGAACTACAACACAAAACAACTACAAATTTAATTATACAGTTTATATCAATGCTTAACGCATCTTAAAGTATCATTAAAGATTTAAAACAATACAATACTGTATGTGAAAACAAAGAGCATAAAAATTAAAAAGACTGACCGACACACATTAACGTTAATTTTGCTTTTGTACTATAGTAGTACCAAAGCAAAATAACAATCTTTAGCGAAAAACAAAATACATATAATTAATCTCGCGATTAGTTCTTTAATTAATTATTTAACAGACAGTTATTATTATTTGCTCACGCGCTTTTTCGAATTAGTTATTTTTTTCCTTTTAACCAAATAACTCGGCATAAAAAAATAAACAGCTCATACTCTCTTTCTCTCTCTCTCTCTCACTAGCTCCTCTCTCTTCTCTCTCTAAAGCTCTGCAGATTTTTCGTCTGCAAAAACCCAGAGAGAACGACAAATTAGGAAGAGATTTGAGAGGAGAAAAGCACAAACAACGACGACGAAGAAACCCTAACAAAGCCTTTCTCTCCTTTCGCTAATCTCTAAAAATGGAGTATGACAAGTCTCCCACTGCTACTACTTTCTCTAGGAAGATTAGTAATCGTAGCCGTAGTCTTAGCTTTAGTGCCAATGCTGCCTACGACGGCGTTTTTTCTTCTCCGGCCAATTTGAAATCTCCTATGGTTGATTACGGCGAAATTTTCAGAGCTTCGGGTCCTTCTCCGTCTTCGATTCCCTTTTTGGATGTCCCGGAGCTCAACGTTGGTAAGGTTAAGGTTGATGTTCGGAGTTCTAAGCTCGATTACTCTTCCGTGTTCGGTGGCTTTGGAAGTTGCGATTTCGCTGTTACTCCTAAGGAAGTGATCATCAAGTCCGAGAAGAAAACCGCCGTTAAGGAGGATAAGAAAAGGTAAACTTCTCTCTGCTTTAATCCTCATCGTTTCAAGATGTTTAGGGTTCTTCAATTTTTATTCGACATATACACACTGATTCAGTACGGATCCTTAAGTAGTTTCATAGTTATAGCTTCTATAAAAAGGCTATATATAGTTGTGTGATTTGTAAATGAGGTTATGCTGGAGACATCTTTGATAGCTAGTTGAATAGTGGAACACTTTGATCTTGGATCCCTGTTGGTGAGCTCTTGCCTTATTTCTCCAATGTGTAGGAATCGTAGGAAAAGTGGAAACTCTTCTGATGTTCCTGTTTGCAACGAGGGGAAAAATTCACCTGAAATGGTTAGGATGAAACACTCTGATATATCAAATCACCAGACGGCGCCCCTCTTTGAGAATGTGACTACTAATGTTACTCAGGCTCAGGTTCTTACTATGCCTGGACCTAGTCCTACTAAACTGGTTGATAATAAGAGCCCACTGCAGAAGATTGAAAGTAAACCACCTATTCCACCAGTTGAGAAGAAGCCACGTAACGAGGGTCTTGAGGAAGTCAAGGTTTCTAGAAAGCAGGGCTCTAAAACTGAGGTTGATTTTGAGAACATCTTTGCTCGAAGTGGATTCAGTACGCGTGATAACTTTACGACCGATTCTAATCCTGAACATCGTGATGTGAAACCACTTTCAAGCTTGCATCATACATTGAATGGTGAAAGTGGATCTTCTGAAAGATTTTTGGGTTTGAACTCTGGGTTTTCGGAAAGGTTTCATCAAACTGAAGATGTTGACTCTCCAAATTCACCTCCATACTTCGATGCTGAAACAGATGCAAATTCATCTGCCGCGGAGTCTTCAGCAGCATTGAAAAAGGCTATAGAAGAGGCACAAGTAAGAATGAATATTGCAAAACAAATGATGGAAAAGAAAAAGTCAGGCTTTCGCAGTTGTGCAAAACCGAAATCTTGTGATGATCCTAAAATTGAGATTAAAGGGGACAAAAAAGTTGAAAAAGTTACAGAAGAAATCAGAGACAACAGTTCTCAGATTCTCAACGAAGCGGGAAACTCATCTGAGCAATCATTTTCAAATGAGGGAGATCAACATGCAAAAAGAGCACGGAAGCTGTGGGAAGTTCCTGAAGGACTTTTAAAATCAACTTCAGACCATGAGCAGGAAGAGTTAGAAGAGCACGATGTGGTTAAGTTGGAAGAGGAACAAGCAAAAAGAGGTCGCAAACACTGGGAATTACCTGGAGTGATATTCAAATCAGTTATGAACAGTAAGCAGCAGGAGCCAGAAAATCTTGCAACTGCCAAACCTGAAACAGATACAAAACAAGAGGTGCAGCCATTAACTGAGAATCCCTTCTATACATTTGGACAGCTTGGCAGTAAAATAAAGTGTGTTGTAGAAGCCTTCACTGGGAGCAAGGTTTCACAGAAGGATGAGAAACAGGTTACAGAGAAAGAAAGTTCTACTCTTACTCAAATGGTTCAAGGTGAAGAAAGTGACTCACAAGAGATGCTAGCAGGTATTCCAGTTATTGAAACATATTTAAGGGAAGTGGAAGAGACCCCGCAACAACCTGAGAGTAAGACCGAACCTAATATTGAAGAAAAGTCTGAATCTACAATCTGTACTTTCACAGAAGGGACTTCTCAGAATATGGAGAAAGAAACCGAATGGCAAGTTAGAAGCGCTTGTGAGTCTGAAGGTGCATCTAAGTGTGGCATAAAAGATTTGCAAGAAAATCCTGACCCAACTTGCAATGTTCTAGATCAGGAAGGTGAGAAGGAGATAGTCTCTGGACCACAGGAGATATTTGTTGGTACTGATGATACCAAAACATATGTGAAAGAAATGGAAGAGATCCCAACACCTTATCATAGTTTGAGTAAAACGCAGTCTGATGATAGCACTGGAACTATGGTGTCTTTTCATAGAGAAAATAATCTTGAGCCAGGAAACATAGATGAGGTGCAAGAGACAGCGCACAAGGTTCCCAGGCGAAGAAGAGTTTGGAAGACCTCGGAAGACGTCTATAATATGATAAAGGCCCCGAAGGAAAACACCAGGCCCTGGCGGCTAGAAAGTCTGGAGAATGAATCCACAGCGATGTCCTTCCATGAGGAGGGTGTAAGGATTCATGATGCTAACGAGGAAATAGAAAGCACATCTGAACAAGCTAATGATTCAGGATTGCAAGAAAATTGGACCGTTCTTAAACAAATGTTTAGGCAGATGTTTCAGACAGCAGATACTAAGGGAGATGATGAAACTTACTGCTTAGTGGAATCAGAAAAGGGGCATCTTGATATCCATCAAAAAGCTGGAGATGAAAACAGAAACGAAACTGCAGAGACTTCTTACTGCCAGATGACTGGCACAGATAGATATGAACAGGATGAGGTGGAGACAGTAAGAGAGGATTATGAAGCTTATGCACATACCAGAGAGAATGAAGAGTCGGCACAAGAAACATATTGTCGAGAAGAGGATGGTATGGTAGAAGTGCAAGGTAAAACGACTTTGGTCCGTGAACTGATAGGAGAAGAGCTAGAGGCCATTGGAATGGCTAGCGACCAAGAAGGGGAAGATGTACACAAATTATCTCAAGAAGCTGGCTGGGCTCAAGGATTTGCTGAAATTGATGAGATAAAGGAGCATGGAGATTCTCATGCTGAAATGGATGAATATGATCGTAGTGAAACAGAATCAAATAAATCTGGGGAGAAATTTGAGCAAACGCATGAACTAGCAGAAGAAACTAAGATCGATGGTAGTATAGATACTGACACCAGCAGGTCATCTTTTGAAATGAGACAAGGGGATTCATACATTGAGGAGGTTGGGGTTGAGCAAGATCTCAGTGCTATCAGCAGCACGGAAGAACACAATGAAGACATAGATTCTGATTCAATTCAAAGTGGTTGGAGTGTTGTAGAGGATGATGACAGATCAATGCAGGATGGAGGAGCAAGTCTGGCAGGAAGTAAGCCTGACGAAATAGAGGAAACCAAAGAAGAAACTGATGACATGAAAACAAGTTTTGGTGTAGAGAACGATGAAGATAAGACAGAACAAGAGCACAGGTTTGAGAATCAAGACAATAAAATACATAGAAGCAATGTGGAGGCAGCTGAGTCTTCTTGTTGTTTTCCCAACGTAGACGAAAATACTGACGCAGCAACAGATAAAAACATGAAAGAAAATGAGGGAGAGGAAAGTTGTCGATCATCTATGGAAGAAGGGGGAGATGCTGCTTCTGATGCTTCACAGAACGAAGCAGAGCGGGTTGAGGAACATCCGAAAAAGAAAGATGAAACAAGAGAGAAAGAAAGAGAAAGAGAGAAAGAAAGAGTTATGGTCGAAAGAGCTATCCGTGAAGCCCGTGAAAGGGCTTTTGCTGATGCTAAGGAAAGAGCAGGAAAAGCTGCAATAGAGAAAGCAAAGGCAGGTACCCACCATAAAGGGACTTCTGAGGTTCCAAGGAGATCAGAGAAGGCATCTGTTGAGGCAAATGATAAGTTATCATCAGCTGAAAAGGCTTCAATGCAAGCCAAACTCAGAACTGAGCGTGCTGCTGTAGAAAGAGCACTCTCTGAGGCCAGAGAACGTGCACTGGAAAAAGCGTTGTCTGGAAAGTCTGCTTCTTCTCAAACAAGAAGTTATGGAGGCAGTAAGTCATTTGGCTCTTCTGGTGAAAAACGAGGCTCCTCATCTTCTGTGAGTTTCGACTCCTTTTTTTTTTCTGCGTTCAACTTATCATTCATAGCCCTCTTGTAATATTGTGATTCGTGAAATTCTTTAGCAGGGTACAGAGAACAAAAGCTCAGGTCCTTCCAATTCTTCAAACCAGACTGGTATGTCTCTGTATATATATATATTTATCGTCGTCTCCAAGATGTTGGACAAATACACTGACCTGTACATTTGATTTGCGTGATGAAGCAAAAGGTGAGCCAATCCAGAGATGCAAAGCAAGATCTGAGCGACATCAGAGAACATCTGATCGCGCGGTATGTACACCAGCTGTTCATCTGTATCTTATTATACTCTTGTCTCCGCTTAAACATGTTTTTGTGATGTCATCATTTCAGGCAGAGGCTCTTGCAGAGAAGAAACTTCGTGATCTTAAAGCCCAGAAAGAGCAGGCAGAGAGAAATGTAATCACATATATCATCAAAACTGTTTTAAAAAGTAAGTCATCTTTGAATGTGGTTGTAATAAGCCATCTTCATCTCGGGCTGAAATTGCAGAAACTCGCGGAAGCTCTTGATGCTGATGTCAAACGGTGGTCGAGTGGAAAGGAAAACAACTTGCGGGCGTTGCTCTCAACACTCCAATATGTAATTTTTTTTTCTCCATCTGTACAGGAACTCTTAAATATTTCTAATGGATCAGAGGATCAGTCTTAAACGTTGTTCTGTGATTTGCAGATACTTGGAGCAGAGAGTGGATGGAAACCGATTCCTCTCACTGATCTTGTTTCAAGTGCTTCTGTGAGAAAAGCCTACCGAAAGGCAACTCTTTACGTTCATCCTGACAAGCTCCAACAACGTGGTGCATCTACACAGCAGAAGTACATTTGCGAGAAAGTTTTTGACCTTCTCAAGGTTTGTCTTTCTCTCTCTCTCTCTCTAACCTGCCAATATATAATCAATTCCACTTGATTGAGCTAACTCCATCTGCAAATTAGTCTCTAACCAGCTTATTTCTGATCCTTTAGGAAGCATGGAACAAATTTGGTGCAGACGAACGATGATTAAAATGGTGTGAGACTTTGGATCTTCCTTTACCCTCTATTATCAGAAGTCACCCTGCAAATCTGAACTAACTAGCCCGAGAACCTAATTTAAAGTACGTGATCAAGCTATGGTATGGGATGAAGACAGATCTAGAGATGTAATAACCAGTTATAAATATTTATATCCATGAGTCATATATATAAAAAGAGCTCATTCTTATTCCCACAGCTAAACCAGCCACAAATATTAACCATCAAGGTTTCTCAAACTAAATGATGAGCAAATACACTACTTAAAACTATGCGTATATATTACAAAAAAATCCAATAGATTAGCACTTGTGCTGAAACACAGATACATCTTTATTTCTCATTCTTTGAAAGATATAAAAAAATAAAAATGAATTTAGATCATTCAAGTCCTTCATGGGGTATAAGCTTGAGAGCTCCCCCATCATGCAATTTGATAGCGATTCTGAGTCTTAGCCCTTTCTACCTGAAAGACTTGTATAACAGCGGGTGTTGAAGTTCCAAGTGAGTTAGGCTTGTATAACAGCGGGTGTTCAACATCCACAAACTCACTTGGAACTTCAAGATCTGTATCCATTGGTCCTAATAAGAAGGACGCGATAGAGATCCTTGTCGTTGCTTCTTTGCACTGCACTCTATGCTTCACATTGCACAACCTGCCATTGCTCCATATTGTAGCCGAGTCTCCGAGGTTGATAGCAAGCGTGTTTGGTAACGGCCTGATTGGAAAGAATGCTCCTGAAGAATTGTCCATAGCTTCAAGTCCATCAACATTTTCATCATCTTGAAGAATCGTCAAGAACCCAGTATCTGTGTGTCATTGCACACCGGGTTTCCCAACCGAAGTTGCCAAGAAATAGGTTTCTCTACTTTCAACACAACCTTGTCTCATTTTAAAAAGACTAATAATGTGATGTACTTGCCTACTCACCAAAGACGTTCTGTATTTCTCTGATTAATGATTTCTTATTAAAGTAGTTGACTAAAAAAAAGTCGTTTCATGTAAGATGGCAAAAAAATTAGGAAATAAAGACTTGATTCATTTAATTGATTTGAGACAGCTAAATGAGCTAAACTATTAGGGATTTATAATTTAAGAAACTCCCGTACAATGTGATAAAACAAGCTCATTCATATTCCCAACTCAACATGCCACAAAATATTATTCATCAAGATTTCTCAATCTAAGGTTAATAAGTAGTACATTATTAAGTCAATGATACACCAAAAAGCAGCATGAGAGAACTAAGATAGCAAAAGGGGTTTAAAACCCGAGCAAATGAAGCATTATAGCATTTTGGGCATGCATGCGATTCTCTGCCTGTGGAAAGACAATGGAATTAGGAGCCTCCACGACTCCATTGGTCACCTCGACTCCTCTTTCTGCAGGTAAACAATGCATAAAGTAAGCTTTTGATCCAGCTAACTTCATAAGAGCTTCATCCACCTGCAATTGAACATAACATGTAAAGCGTGAATTTGTGTACTTTAGTAAGCTACCAAACATTGTACCAAAAATAAGACAGATAACACTTATATGTTACCTGGAATCCTTGGAATGCTTTACGGCGAGATTCGGCTTCATCCTTTTGACCCATACTGGCCCATACGTCTGAGTAGACAACATCAGCTCCTATGACAGCTTCTTTAGGATCATTGGTGATCTCTATCTTACTTAATCCAGCTTGTTGTGCCTTTAAAACTCTTTCTTTGTCTGGTTCAAACCCTTTTGGGCAAGCACAGACAAAATGAAAAGGAATAACAGATGCCAATTCCAACCATGAGTGTACCATATTGTTCCCATCTCCAACATACACAACCTGAAGTCAATTGAATCATTGTGAGTATATTTAGCAGTTTTTATATGAGCTTACATGTATGCAAAATATAGAATATGAGATCATCATACAAGTCTACACTAGTTGTGATTTGACATAGATAATCTTGGATGTCAAGATTTCATGCACTAATCTTGGGTTTGTTTCAGTTTCCTTCATGTTTTAAGTGAGATAGTTGTATAAATGTAACTTGCATCTACAGCAGCAGGCGAAATGGTTAACTGACCTTAGTCCCTTCGACTTGACCAATGTGCTCAATCATTGTGAGGGCATCAGCCATGATTTGGCAAGGATGGTTATGATCTGTCAGACCATTGACAACTGGTACACTCGAGTAGTTAGCCAAATCAAGAATGTCCTGCAAAAGAAGTGGATTCAAGTTTTGTCATTCAGCTTTCTGAAATTAGAAAGAAGTCCAAACTAAAGCATATCCGTTGAAAAATGGGTACTTATGCCACTAACAAGAAACTAAAACAAACATAAGAATGCAGTATTTTTATTAATTTTTGTATGCTTCTAATGTTCCATCTAAAAGGATCTTTATTAATCAATCAAAAACTCACCAGCATACCTGATGAGCAAATACACGAGCCATAATGATGTCATTATAGCGTGACAGTACACGGGCGACATCACGAGTCTCCTCCCGCTTACCCATCTGAATGTCATTGGGTCCTAGATATACCGCATGGCCACCAAGCAAGAAAAACCCGGTCTCAAACGAAACCCTAGTCCTCATGGATGGTTTTGCAAAGATCATAGACATAGACTTCCCTTTAAAAGGTAGATAATTCCTCTCCCCTGATTTCAGAAGGGCCTTAACCTCTGAAGCCTTGTCCAAAATCAATTTTATGGTCGCTGTGTCAAAATCATCAATGGCCAAAAAGTCTTTGAGGTCAGATTTTCCTGCAAAAACGCAAAAAAGTAGCAAAATAGGGGTTAAGTTTTGCTAGATGATCAAAGACATGATGCTTCTAACTTTTGGTGACAAATAACATGACTAATCATAAGAGAAGAGATTTACATTTATTTCCAAATAAGTGAACGGTAAAGATTCATTACAATCCTCTGGAAATTAATCTATAGACGAAAGCAGCAAAAGTATCAAACTTGCGAGAAGTATCTCAACTAATGGGGGCAATAATGAGTCACATTATCTCACTTTCGAATGCTAAAATCAGAACCCTAAAAATGTCGATGAAAGTTGTGGGACTGAACCCTAGAAACCAAACCTTTGACATCTGAAGTAGAAGGCGAAGTGACGGAGGAGGACTGACAGGAAACACGGAGACGGGGGAGGACCGGAGAAGAGAGTGAAACGGCGGAGAATCTCCGGAGAGTAGTACCGGGGACGAAGGAGGATGAAGAGGAGAAGGGAAGAGCAGGTGATCGAGCCGTCGAAACGTGAGAAGCCAAAGCCGCCATCGTCTTGATTGAGAATTTGCTGTTGACTCTGTGAGTGTCACTTCACTTTCACCTTTATAATAGATTCCGATGCCATTTTCTTATTGGGCCTGATGGAGGCCCAAAATTTTACTTCGACTTATTTTTTTTTTTTACTTTTGCCCTAATTTCTTGCAGAGGCGCGCGCGACCCATCTTTCTTCTACGAGCTTGTTCCGATGAAGACGGTCACCGGAAGAGTTTACTGTGCCAAGCCAATCTCTCTGTCTAAGGCGGCTACGCTTCTCTCTGGATTCGTTTCCTCCGAGAATGGCGCCTCTCAAGATGTTAGCGCGTACCTCCGACGATCCTCCGGTGCCTTCACCGAATTAAAGAGCTTCCACAGGGAGATTAAATCGAAGGAGACGAAGCTAAGATCCAATAAGAAGAGGAAAAGTGATGGGGAGAGAACGAGCAATAAAAAGAGGAAATCCAAGGAGATTGATGCTTGAAGTTAGTTTGATTTTTATACTGAAACTAAGCAATCTTAAAGATGTCACTTGGTGATAAAGATATGATTTTGTAGAACACTCTTCTTTGTTACAGTTTGATGTTATTTGTCTGCCTAAGTTCAAACTTTTGATTACTTTTGATTTCTTTTGATTTTTGTGGAGAAACTACATTGGTGGAAGTAATGGTCAAACTTGTATTTTGTTCATAAAATCTTTACACAAATGTAAATGATCATAATAAGGGGATGGATGACAAAAACAACTATTCTGCGCCATTTTTGAAACACTTACCTATATATGTAACTAACTATTTCAACACTGATTCAATGTCTCATTTCATACTGTATTGTTTAGACAAAGGCATCTGGAGGTGCTTGTTCTGGAATCTGCATACAATAAGCAACAAAATCATCTTTAATAGTACATATATAGTTATGGCAATAAAATTTTGTAATCTACTTCAAAAGTTTTGAGAAACTTACCTCCCCTGGATTCCATTTCTCCTTTAACCATATGCTACTATCAACAGGTTCACCTTCTATTTGCAGCTCGGTTCTACAGCAAATGATTCAAGTAAGAAACGTATGAAAACATCATAGCATATTTGATGATTTAGCATGTTCAACTACGTGTTTTCTCTGTGGTTAAAGCTTGGAAATAGAATGGGTACTTACCCAGAAGATGTATTTGTTGCGTCTACAGCAGAAGCAGTGAAAGATGCAACAGGGACATTGAAGTTGAATGCTGTCTGATTGTTCTGGGAAGTGTTGAGAGCCGGCATTGGAGTTGATCGACCAAAGATGTTATTGTTTTGTGGAGCTGTGGCGAGTCCGGGCCCAGGTCCAAATGATGCTGGTTTGAACAATGTTGATGGATTTGTTTGAAAACCAGAGGGACCTGTGATCATATACAAAAGAGGTTTTAGATGATGGGGAGTCTTGGCCTCTGAGCAAAAGTTTAACTTCTGAAGTAGTACCTGAAGAAACAGGCTGAGGTGTATTGACGCTGAAAGCATTTGGTTGTTGATTAGAGCTTGCAAAGGCATTCGGAGGTCCAGATGAACTATGCAGAAGAGTAGTTGGCCAAAAGAGATATATGGAAACAGAGAGTTTATGGAAGCATCACTTTATGGAAGTTGGAAAATGAGAAAGCCCACAAAAGTTGATACCTGACTCCACCAACATTGGTATTTGGGAATGCAGTTTGTTGATTGTTTGTTTGTTGATTAAAGCTTGCAAAGGGATTCGGAGGTCCAGATGAACTATGCAGAAGAATAGTTGGCCAAAAAGAAATATGGAAACCAAGAGTTTATAAAGGTAGCACAAACTTGTCAGGAATATGGAATATGGAATATGGAGAAAGTCCACAAAAGTTGGTACCTAACTCCACCAGCATTGGTATTGGGGAATGTAGTTTGTTGATTATTTGATTGTTGACTAAAACTTGCAAAGGCATTCGGAGGTCCAGATGAACTATGTTGAGAAACAATGCAAACCAAGAGTTAGTTTATGAAGGTAACACAAACTTATTGGAATATGAAAAAGAAACGGAGAAATCCCACAAAAGTTGATACCTTAGTCCACCAGCATTGGTATTGGGGAATGCAGTTTGTTGATTAAAGCCAGAGAATGCTGGAGGAGAAGAACTGATCTGATTGGTCGGTGGAAATATACTAGGAGTAGTTGCAGCAAATGGGCTTTGATTGGCGGTAACCGAGCCTTTGTATGGATTCCGCAGGAAGTTTTCGAACTCAGCTATTTTGGAGTTCTGCAAATTTCTCTCCCTCTCAACCTATATAATGCACCGTTATAAGCCAGGAAAAGAGAAAATCAACTTATGTCTTACGAGTATGAAAGGAAAACTAGTGCAAGAAACAACAAACATTAGAAAAAAGTTTATCTCACAATAGACTGTAGAGGTATTCCTCGTTTGGCTTCTTCGTATGCTATTGCACGTAACTCTTCATAGCTGATATCACCAGTAACGTCACATGGGTAACTAGAAAAAAAGAAGAGGATCGAAAATATCAGACAGGTTAAAAAGAATGGATAAAGATCAAGCATGCTGAAGCAAATGAAGCAATACATACTATTTCCAGTGGCCGTAGCAAGTGAGTTTCCACATGGGTCTCTCGTTCTTAAAATCGTCTTGCATTATCCGCTTACACGCAGCAGGATCTGTGCATCTTTGCATAGTATAACCAAGAGAGAACCAGTTAATTTCCAAAGAAACAAACGGCTAAAAGGATGGTATCTATAGGCAAACATATATCTCTATATACTCACTTATGGTCTGTAGGCTGTGCCTGTTTACCAGTCTTCTGCGCAGAAGCACCACCAGTAGGAGTAGAAGCCGGTCGTGACCATGTATTCTCGAAAGGCTGAGTTTGAAAAAGCATCATGATGTCACTATTGATTCAACAGAAATATTCATTATTTTCTTTAAGAAGAGGAACAGCCGAATGGTAATTACATTCTATCCTATCAAAACCAACAATTGCATCTTGAAAGGGGAAAAAACCCAGTAGAAACCTGGAATTGATTGGGTCTGCTGGAACCACCACCACCACTTTGTACACCAAATCCAAAAGGGTTGGAACTCTTTTGTTGCTGCTGCTGCTGATGTTGTGGTTGTTGTTGGGATTGTGAACCAAAGCCAAAGGGATTATTTGGCTTAGCCTGTTGTGGATGAAGAAATCTACAGTTTTCTCCATACCTACAACTGTAAGAACAACACAAACAACAATGAATCCATAAATTAGGTATCTAAAACTAAATAGAACCGCCACTAGTAGCAATCAAAGTCAAGAAATGCTTGATTCATTTTAGATTTCAGCTCAACAGACATCGTTTATACACATAACTCCCGTCACGCACATCGATTGCTTTCAAATTAAACCCCAGATTATACAACAAGAAACCTAAAAAAATTTCAACAACTTCGAAAACTCTTATCAAACAACAACACACGAGCACCACATTGAATCAAAAACAACCTAGAACAGATGAAGAAGAAGAATATACCTGCCACGCTGAAAGTTTCTGCACAGTTCCTTTCTCATACTCGCTGCTAAAAATCTTCAACTGGTGTATGTATGTATGTATGTAAGCTCTAAGTATTAGCATATGCGTTTATATAATTTTTGCTTCTCTTAAGAAAAAAGAAAGAAGGAAGCGTTTGATCGACGAAGAGTGTATAAACAGAACCAAAAAAGGTTTCTGTGTAAACTACTATTTTACCCTTAATAACATTGGAGAACTTAGGGATATAAACGTAAATCCAAGCAAAACTTCATCATCCTCATTCTAACTCTTATCCATCGTTTACTTGGTCTCTACCACCAGGAAAAAAGAGTAAGATAGCTGCTGAAGGCGAAAATGGCGGTTTCTCTCCCGAACTCGTTTCTTCAGATTAATCCATGTGTTCCTTCTCTGGAATTGAGAAAGGTAAGCTCCAAAATTGATCTCACGCTCCTTCGTCTTCCCCAAAAAATCACTAAAATTTAATTTGGGGGTTTTCTTTTTCAAAAAATTAGCCAGCTATGGCGGCATTGGTTAACGGCGCGAGAGGAGGGAAACAATCGGCGAGAAGTACCAATTCGGTGGTTCAAATAACATGTCGTAAGAAGGATTTGCATCCCGAGTTCCACGAGGACGCCAAGGTTTACTGCAATGGAGAGCTGGTGATGACAACTGGAGGAACTAAGAAAGAGTATGTGGTTGATGTTTGGTCAGGTAACCATCCTTTCTACCTCGGGAATCGCTCGGCGTTGATGGTTGACGCTGATCAAGTTGAGAAGTTTCGTAAGAGGTTCGCTGGCCTCTCCGAGATTATGGAGATACCTGTTCTTAAAGGTGAGATTGTGCTGCCCACGAAGAAAGGTAAAGGTCCTGGTAAAGGCAAGAAGAAATGATGAGACTTTTGTTTTACCTGGTACAAAAAACTTGAATTTCTTGTTGTCTTTTTTCAATTGGAATGGATACTGCTTAGGCTGTTTAAATTTGTATGTTAATGCTCTTCTGAATGCAATTTGATTATGTTTTTGTTTTTAAATCTGTTTGGTTTCATTGAGAGTGAGTATGAAAATTTGGGACTTTGGTTCTCTATGTGTGATTTAGTGATCTCAGTTGCAATGTTACAACAACTAGTGGAAACCTGAAGGATAAAGCTTTTAGCTTCTTGTGTTTGACATGGATTTTTAGATTGGATATAGATGTTTTGGTAAGACATAGCTACAATGATCCGTTGATTCTTGTGTTCTTGTAAATGAAAGAAAGGATCAGGCTTTCGCCACAGCTTGTGATTATCTAGTAAAGTTATGGCATGAACTTGATGTGTATGTGTTGTGCCGATTACTTGCTTTAGACAATTTTTAATTAGATTTACAGCATGTTGAACATGTTCATAGTCTATGCAACTGTCTGCTGGAGAACATGAGCTGTGTGTGACGTAGTGTCTTACTATAGTGAGGACAATCGCGGGCTGCGGCCTTACCGTAGGAATAAGGTTTGCTTGAGATTTGAGAACATATAATTGGCAGTTGAATATTTGCACACCTCTTTAAGGGATGCTGCTTCTGTGGTCATGGCCAATATTCAGTGTGACCCATTGACGAAGTGTTTCATTCAAGTTTGAAAGGAAAACACATGTGGGCTTTTAATCCGTTTATATATTAAGAACTTTGTGAAAGGAAGAAGTGGCCCATTTTACTGCACCATAGGTAGACTACTTTAAATATGGTCATAGTGTCTGAAATCTCAAATGTTTGGACGTGGTAAAATCAAAACTGTGAGAGCCAAGCAAATTGGGAACTTTATACTGTATAGGCTGTTAAATGATGATCGAAGCAGTTGGGTCTTAAGAGATTTTACTTGCATTGTTACATATATCGTTATGGGGAAAAGCGAGACCAAATCAAACGGAGACCCAGTCAATAATTTAAAGTGACATGAAATACTTAAAATAAAATGGAGTTGGCTCACGTTAAACAATCTGCTATCAGTTCAAACTATGTAATTAGAGTAATTCGTTAGTTGAAGTTGTAGTCTTGTAGAACCTTTTTTTTTTTTTTTTGACAATGTTAAAGTTCAAAAGTGGTAGGTACGCACAAAAAGGAGAAGGTGATTGAGGATAAAAGTATTGTTCTGCTGTTTCCTAGAAAAGACGACGCTGTGTTGGGTAACCGTATCTAATTTAAGTTTGTTGGATTATGTTGGAACAATCAAGTTTTGCTGGATTAACTAAACTTAAAAAAAATATGCTGGGGCGATACCAAATTAGTGGTTTTGTTCATGTTCATTTGTCGAAAATAATGCATTCGTTTGTTTTGTTGGGGGACAGTGTTCGGCTCTGTTGATATGCCGAATCAGCCTTTTGTCTGCAATATACACTGCTAGCTCCCCTCTACTTGATAGTACTGTACTAGTTAAGAATTAAGCTATTAAACAATTTAACTTGATACCAAAAATTTGTGCCGTATGCGTAAGAAGTAAGAAGGTGTCTTCGTTGCACGTGACTCATCTTATTCTCACGTGGTTGTCGACCATTTCTCCGATTCTTTTTGTTGTTCGGAATCCATGAACCTCGTTAATGTGTAGTGTGGATTATTAAGTCTCTTCTTCTTTCACTTTGACGGCGCGTGAGTTTCACTTGACTTCTTCAAAGGTTGAGTCCCATGTCCACGTCAATGTAATTAACTTATCATTATTATTATTTTCTCAGATATGCTAGTCGAATATTTCGTTATATAGATGGTATCGTTAATTTCTACTAGTAAGTTGAAATATATTCAGTACTAGAGGATGGCCCGTGCTTTCGCACGGATGATGTTTTTTAAATTAAAGATATAATTGGATTTGTATTAATATTTGTTATTCAATAGTATAGGATAAACATAATAGTCTTGTATATTTTAATTTTAATTCTATAGAGTTAAATCGCGTGTTGATTTGTATATTTTAACTGTATAGAAAGTAAATAATATATACAATAGTAATTAGATCTGGTTTTAATATAAGTACGTATATATTATATTTTTCCTAAATTAAATGTTTTAAGTTTAATAATGTACGAAATATTTAAATTTAGAAATATTAATGAAAAACATAATATACTGAGATTTTTCACCTAAACTATTTCCTTAACTGAAAATTATAATACCTATTAAATCTTTTAGATATTCGAAAATAAGATTTAATTCCAAAACCCG